TATATATATATATATATTGTAACTGTACAATACCAAGAACCACCCTGTTATTATTTACTTGTGTCGGTACTTGCCGCTACGTAGAAGCAGAGGTAATACCTCACACCCCACTCAAACCAGAGGGACCTGAACCCAATTGGCACGAAGGGAAGTCAGGCCTCCCTCCTATCCGAGCGTGCTGTGTAATTTGGAAATAGAAAGAGAGAAGCCCAGTTGACATAAAAAGAGGAAGATATTTTGGGACGAGATAGAATTTCTAAAGAAGTAACAGCTTGAAAATTTGCTTACGCAATTCCGAGAAGGTAAAGTTTATGACGGGTCACAATCCCCGGACTTAAATCAAACCAGCCTGACACTCTCCTTACTTTTACAAAGGGCCCTACGCTCTAATAAAAGAGGAATCTGTCCAAAAAGACGCTGGAGAGAACCTTTTGTCACTTAGAGAGATGGCCATCTGACCCGGTCATAACTCTCCGAATGTTAAAAACTGCTTTTAGAAAGGAGCGGCGAGCTGTTTCAGTAGTCGAGGAAAGGGGCCGCTTTTCAACATCCGATTAGTCACGGAAGTCAAATGTTTTAGGAAAACGAATATTACCCGCTATCTTGTAGTGGAGACCTTCTGAATACTCTTTAGCGAATTCCCCTTCATTCAAGTTCTAAATACCGTACCATAACCTTTTTCTGTGGAGCGTAACGAATGTGACAATTTAAGCCTCAAATTCGTCACGGACCTACCTTTAGAAGACCGTGAGATTGAACACCCTCGATCCACCCCGCGTCAGAAAGATCGTAAAAGCGCGAGGACCCAACTTTCGCCGCGAAACAGTTGACCACTGGGGGGAATGATAAACTCGATCGAACCCTCCCCCCTCTTGTCTAAATCCAGCCAACCCGGGGATTTGGAGGACGGCAACGAGGCGTTCCCAGATTTTCACAGGAACTCTGAATCTTCAAAAACATAGAGTTTGTTCTTTTTCGGAAGTCTCGCCACAACAGTTAAACTAGCAGATGCTGAGCTAGCCCTCTAGATCGACTGTTAAGTGAAATCATGCCTGAATATTCCAAAGTTAAATCAGGAAAATTAATACTGAAAAAGAACGCGATTGCGAACTGGTGACCCTCTCAGACCCCACACACGCAGTGGTAGCGGTAACCTAAACAAGTCCTCAAGTGCTAGGTAATAGTGCTAACGGTGCATTGTGACCAGGCTTGCAGGAGTGTGTAACCTGTACAAGTCCCCAAGTGCTACGCAATAGTGCTAACGGTGCATTGTGACAAGGCTTGCAGGAGAGTGTAACCTGTACAAGTCCCCAAGTGCTAGGTAATAGTGCTAACGGTGCATTGTGACCAGGCTTGCAGGAGAGTGTAACCTGTACAAGTCCTCAAGTGCTAGGTAATAGTGCTAACGGTGCATTGTGACCAGGCTTGCAGGAGAGTGTAACCTGTACAAGTCCCCAAGTGCTACGCAATAGTGCTAACGGTGCATTGTGACCAGGCTTGCAGGAGAGTGTAACCAAGTAACAACACCCCGCTCATTTTGTAGAATCAGAGCTCTCCAGTACCGAGAGCAGTAAAGTAACAATCTGAGTTGTATCTCAGCGGCTCCCAGATTACAAAACAATGAAGCGGTGCCAAGTGTTTGTGTTTCCAGTGTGTTCTTTTCTCCTCGTCGAAGTGAGGCCCGAAAACGACCTGAGCCAGACTCTCACTCCACCCACGACTAGCCCGAGCACCATCAGCTCCCCCAACCCGTCCACCTTTTCCCTTCACTTCTCATCTGTATCCAGAGTTGCTGGCGCCCATAGACAAGCCAGGTCAAGTCCCGGACCTGATACCCCCTTTCCATAGTGAAGAGCAGTGGTGGAGTCGGAGAAGCGGTGGAGCCAGGTAAAGCCCGCCCTAGCTGCGAGCCAAACGACCAACGACGGCAGCGGCGACAACGGCAAGGGAAAGAAAGGACGGTAAATATATATACATTAGATAATATCCGAAACTATAAATAAATGTAAAGTCGGTCATGTTAATGGCACAGATATATAACTATATAATAGAAATAGTTTGACCTTATCTAATCTTTGATGTACCAACTATACTCCAGTGCGATCATGAACATGTTTAGCAAATCAGTTAGACGTTAGATGAATGCGGAAGTAGATCGTATACCGACCGGGAATGTAGCGATAACACCCTAGACTTCTATACGGGAAGTGCTCAGTTCGAGTCTCAGCCGGGACACCGGCTATGCTTAATGAGGTTTCTCGTGGTTTCCCTCAGTCACTCCAGGCAACCGCCTGAATTGGGCCACAACTGCTTCCTTTCATGCTCATTACTCACTAATTATCCCACCAGCTGACGCTGTATAATATGAGATGCTGACAGCGTAAAATAAATCACAAGGAATATCACGCTAGAGAAGACTGGACTAATCAGTGAGGTCTTCTGCATTGCCGACAAGAACCACGTAACCAGCAGTTGCTATCAGTTCTGAGGAGTAACTGAAGATGGCAGACCGAACTGTGTCAGCTGGTTGATGACCTATATTGTGAATATAGCAAAGTAGGTTTCGAATAGTCAAAGTCTAAACTGCTAGACTACGCAGTTATGTGTTTGTTACTTAATTGACGCCTGAAGTGAGTGAAGATGTTTTCAGCTTGCTGTCAGTGCAGTAAGAGCAAGAAGAAATTACTCTTATTTATATGTGATTTGAGGTTCTCACGGAAGCGAATGTGAAAATTGCTTTGTAATAGAATGTGGCGTAGTGTAGTATGGTAGGAAGGTAGTTACGTTTCGGTGTAACATGCTGCTTCGATATTCAGGGTAGAAAATAGAACCTGCCGCCTCCATCCTCGGACAGAAGGTGAATTTAGGAATTTCTCCAAAGTATTGATATCTTTTTACCAGGCTATACGGCGTTACAGAAGACTTTGAATTTTTAGATTAAAACATTTTATAAGTATATTCAGTAAGTATACCTCATAGATCATGATGCTTGCAGTCGCGTAGTACTGAAATATCCATGAATTCTGCGGTGTACGGTAGTAACGCAGACGAGATTCTGTAGTGATGTTGACATTTCATCAAATTAAATAATTCTTTAACATTCAGAGACAAGTTTCAATACCAGACAAGCAAATATCAAAGAAACAAATTAACATTTATGCACATGGCCGCTACCAGGATTTCTATCTGCGGCAGAGGGGGCAGGAAGTGTAGGCAGAAACTCGCTTTCAAGCTTATAAGAGTATTTGTACGGATCGACTTAAGAGTATACAGAATAGAAAATTTTTTTAACTTGACGTATTACCTTGATTCTAAAGCGAACTTTTGTTAAAATATTTAAATTTCATAAATTAGGGTGCCTCTTAAATTTGATGGCGTCTAAGAATCGATGTCGAAAAATTATATTGTACAACTAAGGCCAAGGAAAATCTTTTAAGTCCATAACATTAGTCGTGAACAGTAAAGTAAAAAAAGTAAAGCCATCCCTGTAACAGGCCGTTTAGGCCCATAAGGTTGTAAGACGTTGAGGGTCCCACATTATCTAGACAATCGGCTCAGAGATGGCGGTAAGGTTGTCAGCCTTACGCTCCGGCCGCGCTTTACTCCCCAGAAAAATTATTTAAATAATTCCTAGTACTCATTTCTGTTAGAGGCTGAGTCGACACCAGGGCCATAGTGCGGCTGGAAGGATTAGGTGAACTGAAAAAATAGCAACAGAGGAGATTTCGGAAGTATTCCGTTGTTAAAAGTGTTACTGTATACAGTGTATGAAGTAGGTGATAGGGCTTGGAAGCTGCAGTTACCAAGTAGTCATCACCATCGTCGCCTGCAAGAGCTGAGCATGTTAGACCGTTCCGTTCACAAACATGAAGCATCTTTGAGGTAAAATGTGAAGCTATCCCTGCAACAGGTCTTGAAGGCCCATAGAATTGTGAGACGTCGAGGCTCCCACATTTTCTCTAGACAATCGGCTCACAGGTGGAGGTAAGGTTGTCAGCCGTCCGCGCTGGCCGCGCTCTACAAAGCACGCNAAAAGGACACATCACAAGACACAGTATACACAAAATATAGGAAGAACGACTCCCATAGTGGAAGAACGATATAATACGCGAGTTTGAATTAAGACGTATTAGATGATAAATCTTAACAAATTTTAATATATAAAAATTTTATTATAGTAAATGAAGAATATACATTTAAATAATTTTATAAACGACACAATAATGGAGAGCAGTGCAATAGCTTAACGTAAATAACTCACCTGGGGATGGCACAGTGTTGCCGAAGACGGCCAATACATACACATCATGGACGAGAATCAGTGCAACAGGACGCTAAAATACAACATTACTGTCTGCCCTCCACATAATCCTGGGAAAGGACCATTACCATGCGCTACGCACCGGACCAGTGGGACCTGGAGCTCGCATGAGGCATGGTCGCTAATTCCAGCAATTGGATTATCTTTTATGAGAATTCCGACTTGCTACGTTTAACACCAAGTACTATTAATATTAATTAATAATCTGGGACGAAGAAAGATTCGTCAGCGTTCACTGTTACACCTACTCCCGTTGTTGCTTCTTGAAACCTTCATTAGAATCAAGACTCGGGACGGGGAGTTGGGAGTGGGAATCGTTGGCATTGTTGACGGTTAGGTTATTGTCACAGCTCGCCGTTGGATATGCTTAGTGCTACTCTTTCTAGTATTTTACTTTTTAAGCATAATTTCAAACCCCAAATACGGTAGGTAATTGCCGCTTTAAAGCGTCTTCGAAACGGTGCCATTGTGACGCGGCATTCAAACGAAAAGCCATAGTACAAGCAGAACAAGTCGGGACTAAAGCTGCAGGACATAAAGTTACAACAGGCGAAGCAAGCGTTCGTCGCTGAACGGTCGTTGAATGGATGGTCGCGCTTCCGCGTTTTCATGTAAGGCAACCGTCAAGTGCTTTGCAGAACGTAAGAAAAGAAGACACCCTGATGTGGATGCTACAGTTCTCCATTTCGTTAGAAAACCCGGTTCAAAAGGGATGGTCTATTATCACACGCCAGGCTGTGTAAGTAAGGGCAACATAAACTGCTAAACCACTCGGAATAAGAGACTTTAAACCTGAGCGAGGCTAGCGCAACAGATTAATGCGCCGGGAAGGACTGTCACCCAGGCATCGATAAGATTCAGCTGATTTTGAAGGGAAGTCGCAAATGTTTCTGCGGTACGTTATTCAGTAATGGAAGAAACAAAACCATTCATCTAAGCATACGAGTATATGAAGTGCAGACGAGACGGCGGTGAATTTTGATATGCCTCAAAATTACGCCGTTGATGCTAAGATGCAAAAGAAGTTAAATTTAGAATCACAGATTATTAAGAGCAGCGTGTAACGGTGATGCTACTCATAACTGATGATGACCATAAGTACCAGCTTGTATTATTCTCAATTGCAAAAACAATGCCTACGAATGAGGTGTGACCAAATTTACGTTATTGTGCGTACACTAAACAAATGTATGGGTGACGGCTGATTTGATGGAAGACGGGGAGGAAGACTTCTGGAAAGAACGCTCTAGAGCTCAGGGTCGACGAAGTATTTTACTCTGAAGAACTTCAGTTTAAACCTGATGGACAGAATTGTGACTTAGTTATATTTCTGGTGGCGTGACCAGCCAAATTCAGCTATTCGATATTTCGATTAATGGGACATTTTAAAACTGTTGACTGGCTACGGGCTGGATGACCGAAGGGTCGGAGTTCGAGTTCAGGTAGAGTCAAGAATTTTCTCCACGTTGTCCAGACCGACTCTGGGGTCCACGCAACCTCCTATGCCATGGGTACCGGGGGTTCTTTCCCGGGGATAAAGCGGCCGGGGCGCGAAGCCGACCACACACCTCCAGCTAGTGCCGAGGTCAAGAAACTGTGGATCTATACATCCACCGACACATACGCCTTCATGCCGTAGTGCTTAATAAGCTAAGCTAAGGGACTTTACCTTTTACCATAACCCTTTCACACTCGGTGTATTTTCCAAGTACCTGGTCTAAAACACCCAGGCGAATTTGGCTCAATTTACAAGTCTCACTTCAAAAATCAAACACAATTTTGGTCAAAGGTATATGAAAGAATCACTCTTATTCACTATAGACAGCAGATTTAAACAAAAAATAGCCTACAACTTCAAACACTAAATAATTAAAAAAACTGAAAGAATTAAATATAGAAATTTAAATTCACATAATTTAGGCAAAAAATAATTTTTTGACTTCTTTTCTTGTCACTAAGCCTGTAAGAAAAAGAATATTTTTCTGTAAATTCTGATATAAGTTTTATGCATGAAGCTCTCTATCAATTGATAGCATATTAGAATCAAGGAACTACAGTAATTTTAATGTTTGATATTAATATTTCGCATATTTCAGCATTTCTTTAAATTCTGATTTTTTAATAATTGGGGGGAGAGCAGTTGCAGATACCTGACCCCCTCTCCCATTGGCTGTGAAGTTTATGTATGTTATAATAGTGTAAAAGTAAGTAAGTAAGTAAAGATATCCCTGTAACAGGCCACGGAGGGCCATAGGGTTGTGAGATAGTGAGGTTCTCACATTTTCTAGACAATCAGCTCATAGATGGCAGCATGGTTGGCAGCCCTAAGCGCCAGCCGCCCTTTACCCCAAAAAATATTCCAAGAACATTCCTGGTACTCATTTCTGTTAAAGGCTGAGTCAACCCCAGGGCCATAGTACGGCTGAAAGGATAAGGTCAATTGACAAAAATGCAATGACATCAGGACTTGAATCCGTGACCTTCCGGCTTGTAGGATAGTGCCTCAACCAACTACACTACCGCATGCCCTGTTGTAATACGAGCAGTATAGGAAACAGTATTTTATCAGACATCAGGAACAATGTTGGCTGATATAAGCAAAATAAGCCAAGCTTATAGACTGACATTATGAGGGTACACAAAATAATAGACATATTTTTTTTAGTTATGGTATTTTTATATTAAAGCTCCTAATTGCTGCATAAAATAAAATAAAGCATATTTAACTCCTAACTTACCATTGCAATAGTTAGCTTTTCTGTTAGTTTTTTAACATTCTCATCAGTAACCTATGTAAGTTTAAATCTTTACTGTTTCTGTTTATTTTACCTTCCTGTTAAAACAATGCCGTTTTCACATGTCATTGGGTCTCTCAAACTTTATGTACCATAGGGTCCCAGTGTGTTTAAATCTGGCACTGCATGTTGTGGAGTGGTTTCATGGCTCAACCCCACACAGTCGTGCTGTCTGAGATGTCATGACAATGAATAGCTTCTGGGAGTAAATTACTATAAATATATCAACAGTTTAATGTTATATTTTAGCGTCCTGTTGCACTGATTTAAGTCCATGATTTATTTAAACCGTCTTGCAGTGCATACACTCATTTATCTCCTTCTCTCCCTCGCACTACATGTTTCGGCATAATAATGCCATCTTCAGGTGCTTACTTATCCACGCCAAACTAGTTCATTGCATGCCTTGTTCTCATATTAAAATAACTAAAATATGTATCNATAACTCACTCAAAACGAAGACAGAACACACACACATACCCAGGAGGCCCAACAGTATAACACACGCAGTCACAGGAGCAAGACACAACCAAAAGCACAACACACACAAGATAGTGAAGGAGTGCTCCAACAGAGGAGAATGGGCGTGACTGGCGTAGTGAGGGGCGACGTAGCGATGTGGTATCCTGAACAATTTTAATATTTTTAACGTTTGACAATGTATATGACAGATACATATTTTAGTTATTTTAATATGAGAACAAGGCATGCAATGAACTAGTTTGGCGTGGATAAGTAAGCACCTGAAGATGGCATTATTATGCCGAAACATGTAGTGCGAGGGAGAGAAGGAGATAAATGAGTGTATGCACTGCAAGACGGTTTAAATAAATCATGGATATCAACAGTTTATTAGGAAATATAATAATTACAAATTAATTTTTATTATAGTCAGTCTCCGTGACTGTTTTATTTAAGGCACATGTCTTCAGCCTCTTGAACATTAAATTATTGGTATAAATTCCACTGGGGCATGGATGTGTGTCTTTTTTTGTTCTTTGTGTTCATTCTGTCAGGTGTAGGCAAAGGACTGATCCCTGTCCGAGGAATCCTACTAGTAATTTCAGAAGTTGATTCTGGATTGGAACAGCTCAAAGGGTGAAATCCGTAAAGGTTTAAGATGACAAAGCTGCATCTGCAAACATAATACATTCCTTCCTTTACCATTCGCTTATATGGAATACAAGAATTTTTGTTAGTGCATGACGTAGAAAAGTATCATATTCATTTTCTAGAAATCAGCAGTTACTTCTGAGAAGTGCAGTAGAAGATAATGACAATGGCAGCAGAGAGACTGAAGATTATTTTTCACCATCTTCATGGAAAGCATGGCATGTTTGCTCCTGTATCCTTTAACAAAACTGGCTGTAAAATTTGTTCACAAACATAACAGAACCAAGCAACATGGCCAACTCACATGGGCAGCAGCTTATAGCAGGAGTTGGAAATGCCTTCTTCATTTATTAGACATGTCTGATGCCTGATGAACCTGTTATTAATGATTTTTTTTAAGTTCTTGCCACAAAATTTATAATATTTCATGCTTAGTGTTCCATATAAGTTTGTCCTCGTAAAGCCTGTGATTCAGACTTTCCAATAGATAATAACAACATGGAGGAAGAGCGAGTGAATAAATGAGGCACAAGGGGCAAATAATTATTTGGTCATGAGAAATATTATATAAGAGAGACCAATGAATTATTTGCTGTATGGGTGATTCGACCATCTTGCTGCAAGAATGTGTATTTCTTCTCATTACTTGCATTTGAAACGAGAAACTGCAGATAAAACTGTAAAGCTTACTCTGCTTAAGTGATTTCTAGTCCTACAACTCTTATCCTATTTATATCATAATTATATAATTAAAATTTCCAATCTAATGATGAAACTTAATTTATTTCATGGACTAGTATGCTGGAATTAGGCATAGATGGACATAACATTGTATTCTGATGAAGTCAATTTTTATTACTTGAAATTGTAAATACCTTACAGGTGGCGGCTGCTGCTGCCACTGCCACTGCCACCGCCACCGTCGCAACAGCTGTATCTGGCCATTTGAGGTTTTGCTACTTTCAAAGGAATTGGAACACTGAGAAAAAATTTTTTTCTGAATTTTCTGCAACACAATTTTAAAAAAGTATTCCTAATATAGATTTCAAGAATAAACACACTGTGTACCTTTTATTCCATAACAAAAATATATTTCTGTTATGCAATTGTGGTGAGAATGACCACGTGGGAGTAGCAATTCTTGTCAGAAAGTGGGTGAATGTTGTGAATTAAATAGTACACATTTTGTTCAGTCACAATCATCTGTTATCATGACAAGAAGGAGGGAGGAGTGTGTGTGCGTATGCACACACATGTGCATGTGTATTGTATCTAAATTAAATCATATGTGTCCTTAATGAAGAATTAGAGACTATGGTTTGATATGGTTCATCCTGGTCCATTACACTAACAGTATTATAAAAGGTTATCAACTCCGTCCAGTGTGACTGATAAATGTTTTATTCTTCTTCCCCCGCCCCTTATTCTTTCATCCTTGACATGTTTCGGTCTGAGAGACCATGGTTTCTCAGACCGAAACCTGTCAAGGATGAAAGAATAAAAGAAATAAGAACATTTATCAGTCACACTGGATGGAGTTAATAATCTTTTATAATTAGAGACTATAGTGTTAACAGTGTTCTTTCTTAAAGAAAGAACTTCACTTTCCTAGCCATAAGGGCAACAAAGTCAGTAGCCAACTCCAACTCCTGACCAAATTTTGTATAACTGAAATTATTTCCAATGGAATTAGCAATGTCTCTAATCATGCTTACATTACAAAACTTCAGCTTTAAGAAGCTGTGTTCTCCACTCCACTTGCCACTGTCAGCGAGAGGCATAATAAGATTCTCGCAACATTGAGGAAGTGACCAAAATTATTTTTGGATGTCATTTTGCTGCCTTATACAAGTTTATACTGTTGCACCTCCAGTCAGGTTGGCCTTGCTCTTTAGCATAAAACACTAAAAAGAAACTCTGCACAGGCTTGTTTCATTTGAGAAATTAAAATAGTTAAAAAAAAACTCACACTATCATGACTTAATCAATCCAATTAAGAATGTGTTTACATTTAAATGTGAACAGCAATAGTACACCACACTGATCGATCATGTTATATTTGTTACATTATTTTGTGAAAATTATACCGTTATTGTTAATAGTCATTCTTTAACTACGAACAAGAGACCTTCTGAAACTGGAGCAATAGCAGAACAACCATCTACAGAAAATTTCAAGTACACCACAGACAATTCATTACTCAGCTATAACCAGAGGACTTTTTATGAAGAAAATGGTTACCTTGTGATACCACGTCTAGTTGAAGATGAACTCATAGAGGAATGTCGGTAATGCATTACCCTCTGTCCTTATAATCTAAATCACTGTGTATTCGTAACAGAGTTAAAAACAGTCTTCATTTATTTGTGTTCACAACCCATATGTGTGTGACAGCAATAGAATAACAGAATTGTGAAAGGAACATTATCTATATTAAATATGTAACTAGAAAAGTTTTTGGACACAGGTACTTTTAACAGTGGTTTCATCATTTACATAACCAAATTTTTTCTTTGTACAGTAAATTTTTAGAGATGTTGAGGCCTTAAGAAGGTTGTGTGGTTAGATAACTTTAAAATAAAAAGGAACCCCAATATAAAAACCTTTATGTAATCACATTGTGTGCTTCTGTTTCTTGCATTGTTACATGTACTGACTATGTATCCTATATTGTACTTCCATGAATACCCCTTCAATAGTGGATATAAATAACAGACACCCTGTCCCCCTATTAGTCCATGATAACAAGCTTTCACTATATTTATCCCCTCATTCTTTGCAATGTTTCCTTTCCTGAACCAGCTCTGGAAGCAGTAGTATCACTCATTATGTGGCCACGCCATAGCTCAAGCAGTTAGTCACTGCCTTCCCACCGCAGTGGCCCAGCTTCAATCCTGGATCTGGTCAAGTGGGATTTGTGGTGGACAAAGTGGCGCTGGGGCAGGTTTTCTCCGAGTACTTCGGTTTCCCCTGCCAATCTTCATTCCGACAATTGCTCCACAGTCACCCTCACTTATCATCTGGGGCTGGTACAATAGGCCAGAAGTGGCCGCAGTACAAGGGACTTAGTCCCACCCCACTAGCAATAAAAAAAATAATAATAAGAATCGCTCATTATGTGGTCCTCCTACAAACTCCTGTTTCTTTGCATCTTGAGTATGTTCACAACTTGAAAATTGGGAAATCTATATTAAATCCTTCAGTAATGGAAACAGAAAGCTGCACTGGAATGTTCTGCAGAAGAGAGTATTGCTTGCTGTGTATCAAGGGTCATTGTCCTAGAGTGACACAAGAAGTATGGTTTTGTAAATCACTATCTGTTACTGTTGTGCACCACTTTACATTGAGTTTTAAGTGTCATGGTCACCACATGAATATTTATTCAGGAAAAAGTATCCATCTTGTTCTTTTTGATAGAAAAATTATTCTTGCACTAGTCATTCAAAATTTTATACACAGTAGACAACTGCTTTTAAATTTCCTTGAATGTTAATGGGTCCAAGTCATTAGCAACCAAGTTTGAGCTTTCTTCCATAAGGAAGTACAAGATTTTGTGTAGAGGATATTTGTTTTACCATGTATATGTATTATATTGTTAAAAAACAGTTGTACAGCAGTGCAACTTGAACCATCCAGTGCACAAAAGTGGAAACTTCATTCCTTTTAATTACTGCATGACATTCTCTTTAAAAAGAAAAGAAAATTCTTGCAAAAAATATTTATGTTCTTCCAGTCAAAGGTTTGTTGATATCTGTGAAGGCCATGTGCCACAAGGACATATGACCCTGATGAAGGATATTTCACTAATCAAGACAAATGCAACAGGTCAATACTTGTATTACAAGGTGCAAGATATTGTTTGGGACGATGTTTTCTCAAAGTATATTCTACATCCAAAGGTATGTTTAAATATTACGCACTTACTTCCTCCTAATTGATTATGTAACAAGTATGTTAATAATACTATAAATGATTCATTCGTTTTTAAAACGCTATATTTTCCAAAGTAATACACGTACAAATATGATTGATATATAAAAAGAACTGTAAACTCACCAAGTTTGATTTTGTGCACCAGTTGGCCGCACGAGTTCAGTGCCTTTACAAAATGGCGGCAAAGCAAGAAAAGAGTTTTTGTTTGTTGGAATATGCGAGATGTTCATCTGTTATAGCAGTGCAACGCGCATTCAAAAGAGAGTACGGAAAAGAACCGGCATGTAAACAGAGCATTTGCGGTGGTATTGGCAATTTAAGGGCACGCTGGATTGGGCGTGTTGGTGAGGATGATGTAGCTCTGTTCACTTGGCCCCCAAGATCACCTGATCTAACGCCTTGTGACTTCTTCCTTTGGGGGTACATTAAGGATCGTGTTTATATACCCCCACTGCCAGGAACACTAGTAGAGCTGAGGGAACGCATCGATGCTGCAGTGATGACCATTGACAGGATGATGCTACAAAATGTGTGGAACGAGCTCGACTACCGCCTGGACGTGTGTCGTGTGACCCAAGGGGTACACATAGAACATTTGTAGAGTGTGAAGAAATTTGGTGAGTTTACGGTTCTTTTTATGTATCAATCGTATTTGTACATGAATGATTTGGAAAATATAGCGTTTTAAAAACGAATGAATCAGTTATAGTAGCCCTGTATATTCAAGCCACTAATATTGTTAGGGTAATGAAATAGAAAGTTACAGTGGGGTATACATGTAGTTGGGCAGGGCTGCACATGCATATTTTGTGAAACCTCTTGAAAAGTGAGTACTTGGAAGACCAAGATGGATAGGGGATAATGATATGAAGATGGATCTTAAAGAAAAGGGTGGAGGCCCATAGGGTTGTGAGACATCGAGGCTCCCAATTGAATAACATTATGATAAAATGTTAATGGTTTTAATATCACCGTTTTTGCAAGGACATGTATACATGTATATGTGTCACAAGACACATCATAACTCACTTTGTACAAACAACAACAGACACTAGGTGACCAGTTGTATGATGATTTAAAAGGCAATGAGATGTGTGATGCTATCTCACATGCACGAGATCTCCCCATTCCTACATTAATTGCCTACAATAAATGGAGGTTACTTTCTGAATAGCCCTCATATTTAACCTATAGTGCATCTCTACAGAAAGTTGTGGTGACAGTAGTAAATAGAGTCGTAGACTGTAAAATATCCTCTGATGTATTCAGTTGCATAATTTTTTATATACGTGACTTAGATGTGTGCCAACTGTTGAGCCAGAAAATGTCCTTTGAACAGGTCGGAATAGAGTTGAAAATCTCAGAAATGTCTGAAGATGAAACAGAATTAACCAATCAGTACAGTCACTTCCACTTGTTCTGTTATGAGTTCATACTCTTAAATGTACTAATATTATTTCATTATGTGGCTAGGTGCTGGATTATGTGGAATGTTTCACAGGTCCCAACATCAAAGCAATGCATACTATGCTTATCAACAAACCTCCAGATTCAGGAAAGTTGACATCAAAACATCCACTACATCAGGTACCACAAATACTGTATTTCTCAGGCTACAAAATTATGAGTATGATCACCCCTACTTCCCAATGTAAGGTTTTAATGAGAGATAATCATATTACTTGTTGATGTCAGGTTGGTATGTTCATTTCTCATACATAAGTCTTCACTACCTCGTCTCTTCATAATTACCGTCTTAAGTCCATAAAGTACTTTCTCTGTGAAAGTTGCCCCTAGTATTTGTTATCTTCCATTGTTGCAGGTATTGTGTATTTGTTGGTGTCCTTGGTGTACATTATTACCATCAGTTTAAAATTTGTTTCATATTATGTTAGTAGGTATGACAGAATCCATGTAGCAAAAGTCTCTCCTCCTCCCACATGATTTGCCCAGTGTGTGTCACATGATTTACTACCTTTTGTTTAATAAACACAAATACTCTGAACATTAGTACTTCTAAAACAAATTACATAAATGATATATTAATGTTCAGTATTGTCACTACTACTATATATGTACCATATCTGTAAACAGTTTTTAACAGTCACAAAATATCATCATGCATCCATAAAGTAATTGATATCTAGTAATTATAGCATACATTAAAATTAATATATATTATCAATATACATGTATGTCATATCAGTCATATATATTATATCAATGTGAGAATATTTTCAAACAATATTCTCTTATGTCATTTCAAAATGTAGCTCAAAAGGAGTGCCATGACTCTGAGAGGAAATTTTCTTTGAAAAGCAGTACAGTAAACTCTTGTCCACCGTGGATGTTAGGCTCCGTGAGAATAGTGCATGAAGTAAATCTGCATTAGACAGACTTACTACCTTTTGGGCCAGATGGAGATAGATGAATTTTATTTAATTCTGTTTCAATGTCAAAAGTATGAAGGTTCTTCAGTTGTCTTTATACATATATCTTCCTATCTATATGTCAATATTGATACAAATAACAACTGTGAATACCGGTATTCTTTGCAGGATCTACACTACTTCCCATTCAGACCTCCTGAATGCATTGTGGCTGCATGGACTGCAATGGAGAGAGTGAACGAAGATAATGGTTGTCTGGTTGTGATTCCAGGAACCCATAAGGGAGAACTACTGACACATGATTATCCAAAGTGGGATGTAAGTCACTTAAAACTGCCAGCCTCACACTATATTAACAAGAGTGAAAAGATGTACATTCACTAATTTAGAAGTCATGTATTTTCCATAGTCAGTCTAGAAAACTGAAATTAACGGCCATGGGGATTCATTGTGCTGACCATGTGACACCCTCTATCTTCTGAGGTGGGCACTAACTTCACCGAAAAGTGGGAGTCACTCAGTCGGTATAGTTCGCTTGCGAACTAAATCACAGAGTATTTTCCAGAGAGTTACATGATTAACCTTATGTTAATTTATTATCGTCATCACTGTAATGGCCATCACACACACACAAATATTTTACTTTTCTGGTGCATTTCACCGTCATACTGAATAGGTTATTTCTTCGACCATAGTTTTGGGTGTCCAATGAGTCTTCTCCTTTAAGGTATGTAATTCACTACTTAGGTATAATGTTAATTTACTGCAGATACAGATTTGTTGTTGCAAAATTAATATCACACTGCATAGCATTACACTATTTTTCCTTCTGTTTTGTTAAATATTCATTAGATTGAAACTTTTTTCATTAAGTTGTAGATCTAAATTAGATTGATATTTTATGTCCTGCAGGCCATACTGATTTCTGTGTTTGATGAGCATTTTTGAGAAAAAAATTGTTTATTTTAGGTCCATATAAAGCAATGAATATGTTGGACCAGTATGGACTAAAATACAATTCACCAAACAGTGTTTAGTGTGGATTTCCAATATGAAACTTCACTGAAATCCAGTGAGTAGTGGTCAGATATGCTGATGGATGGATGTACAGATATGAGCTGAAGTGAACTGGCCCTTCACACTGACGCCCTCTTGATGCTTGTCTGTCAGCTCTACCCATGCTGAGTCAAAGATCTTTGATCAATGTCCAACAGAGTGAAGCACTGACATATTCTCTTGGACTGCTGACAGATGGATATCCCTGCTGCTGTTTGTCACCAACAGGGAGAGTTAGGCCAACACCTCAGTCTCAGTTGGACCTGTAACCAAGCTTCAGCAAAGCACAGAGTTTCATTATGAAAAGGCAGTCTCTTCCTAGCTGGCTTATTCACTGACCTGCCCCATTCTTCTTCTTGATGGACAAGCTACTCACCCCTGTCAAGAGATCATTTGGTCTCACCCAAAATTGACCTCTCACCAGAGCCACTGAAATATATTTACTGCCTCTTCACAACAGCAGACAGGCAGAAGAGGCAACACCTGAGCTCTTCAATGCAGGGAAAGGAATAGCAGAACCACTTCACTGGCCCCAGCTGGACCCACAACCAAGCACAGCCAAGATGTATCCCCCCACTCAAGAGGGGAGCCCCATCACTACCAATCCTCTGCTAAGCCCTTCAGTTTCTCTTATTGACGGTCACATTAGTCGCTCCCATTAAGACCTCCTTCAGCTTCCCCTCCTCCATGCACCTCTCATCAGAGCCCTCTCCATAGCACCTGGAAACCCCCTTCTTCAGCCACCCAGTGTAGGGAGGGAGTTCTTCTTCTGTCAGGTAACTCCAGCCACCCTCCATCACTTGCTGATAAGTATAGCAGAGTTCCCACCATCACCCCAGATAGGCCCACAGTTTCCTTGAGAAGAGCCTTCCTTCTCCTGGCTGCTGCTTCTGCTAGTCTGTCCAGTTCCTCTCAGTAGTCAGGCTGCTTACTGCCATAAAGAGAAAGTTAAGCAAACATTTGTATGTAAGCTAGAATGAAGTAAACTCAGTATTTGTACTCTTCACGTAACGGTGTTAGAGAGGTTAAGTCCTGGCGGGCTGTGGTGCATGCATGGAGAAACAGGTCATACAAATTTTTTAGATTTTGGTTACCCACATCAGCCTTCTGTGTTGTGGGTACTGTGATACCTTGTTTAAAATGTGAACCAGATTAGAAGAGAGACTATAATATTAAGATGGATCACAGAGAAACAGGTTGTGAAGGTATTGGTGGAGCCGCAGGGTGTGCCAAATGGAGAACTGACATGAACATGACAATAAGTTCCATAAAAGCTGGGGATTTTTTTATTTCAAGGAAGGTTTCTACCACATACCATAGCCATTATTGGAAGTGACTGGCAATAACATATTTATTTATTTTCCAGCATAAAGTTAACAAAGCATTCCATCGAGTTGAAGGATTTGCTGATCATCCATTGGTAGCGCTTCCAATGGAAAAGGGAGATACTGTTTTCTTCCATCCACTTCTTATTCATGGCTCTGGTATTAACAAGACTAAGGTAAAGGACATAAAACAAAATTTTTAATTTAAAGATATGTTTGTGAATTTAAATAATATATTTACTATATGTCACCAGTCATTTTAATGTGTAATCCTGTGGAACACATTTGTACTTAAGCAGATACTTGAAATAGAGCTGTCTGCAGACATGTTACGGTACTACAAGTGATATATTAAGTGAACATATATATGACCAACAGGGTTTCCGTAAAGCAATTTCCTGCCATTATGCAGCTTCAGAATGCTATTATATTGATGTGGAAGGAACAACACAAGAAAATATTGCCAGGGAGGTTCAGGAGATGACATCTCGCAAGGGAATTGAACTTGACTTCCAGGTATGATATCTCATTGGTTTTGTGTTGCTGTTGCAAGTGCATGGGCAAGTGAGATAGCCACTTAATACCATAATGATCTCTTAAAATAAGTCATTGCCACAGTTCTGCCAGGTAATCACACCAATATCATTTGATGCTACATTTGTTCAAAAACTTAAACATAACTTTAGAACTGGAAATTCTCACAGAGGTGGTTCTGAAGAGTTCTGTCTTCGGTCCTATGATGCTTTGCAACCCACTGAAACCTCTATACTTGCTCTGACTTTGCATTTTGCTTTTCTTTTCTATGTGGAACATCGGTTAAGCTGTTCCGTCGTTTTCTCTTTATTGTCACTACATGTTTTCGTTTTCTCTTTATTGTCATTACATGCTTGGCCTAACTGCCCATCATCAAGTATACAGGTTGTGATGAAAGAATCTGCTTCTCACTGCAATGCTGTTTTGTTTTTCTTATGTAGTTTCTAGATTATGTGGGTTAACCAGCTATTTTATTTGGGTGTCTTTGAATAATTTAACATTATGAACACTACTTGCTGCCTGCTTCATGCTGGTTTCTTGCTTGGCTTATTCTTCAACCTCTTAGATGAATTTACCAGTTTACCTTCAGTAGACGACATGTCATATCCCAGAAGACAGAACTCTTTAAAAATAACTGAATGCAGAAATAACATCCTGCACAGAAACACTGTAAATATGAATTACACTCATTAACACATTACAGATTGAAATTCACATTTAATATTTCTTGATTTAAGTTTTTAACTCATCTCATCATTTCATTATTAAGTTTCTTCCATTTAGGATCTTCCTCACCAAGCATTAAGATTAAACAGCACTTCTGCATTGTGTTCATGAGGTCCATGGCTGAAATTTCACCCTAGTGACCAGCTGCTATGACTGAGTTCTTTCTCAATCTCTCCAGGCAACATTCAGAGTGCATCTTAAAATAGGTCATGAACATTTCCACATAATTTACAAACTAATATTCACATTTGTTCTGTCATTACAGCTGTATAACCTATGCAGCTAGAAAATCATCATTAAATAACCAAGAAATGTCAGTTAATATCACCATATCGTAACATAATGTAAGTCTATTGTTAAGGGAACTTACACCCCAGATTTTTTTAAGATTTTACACATGTGAACTATGAAGCTGTTCTTCTATAAGTGCTTTTCTTCTGTCTTTTTTTTTTCTGCTTTAAGCTGTGTCTTGTTCCATCCAGTCAGTCTTCCTGCTTGACTGTATCCTTCCACCTCATTTTTGGTCTTTCCAAGTTCCTCCTTTTTGGTAACAAATCTCTTTTATCACTATCTCTTACCCACCATTTGATCAATGTGTTCATTCCATTATCTTATTAATCCATTTGTTTACATGTTCAATTTCTTGTCTGTTTTCCATATCTTCCCTTACTTGGTCTCCTTAATGATCATTTATTCAGCATCTTCATTTCTGCATTCTCAAGAGACATCCTGCTGTCATCCATGCATTACCCATGTCCATATCACCAAATTAATTTTGCAAATTTTTCTTATATTTCAATAATTTGTCTGACATTCTGTACTTGCATTTCATTCCTTCTTGTTCTTTCTTGATATCCCATGGAAACTGTACCTGTACTGCTTGTAAACTACTATTTAATTCTTGATAAATAATTTTTCAGACTGTGTGGAAGATTAGGGGGCGAATGGTACGAGGAAAGGAACTGACATTGTAAGCTGTCGAAGAATGTTCTTCACTGGATAACAGCAAGATGAAGGGTTCAGCATTTTAATCCAGGCTGCTGTGCTGTGCATGAGAGCAAGTATTGCAGGAGCAGTGTCTGTCTGATAGGGACACTGATAAGAAGGGTGACAGCACCAAGCATCTCACTCATCCACTCACTCACAGCTCCTGTTTGAATAGTCATGTGTTTCTTTAATCTGTACTACTGTTACCAGGCTGCCAACTGGGCAAAATAATTCAGTAGGTAAGGGAAAGTTGTCCCTGTGCTTAATTAATTAACCACTATGCCATGTACACATATGAGGGGGGTGGAGGTATAACTCCACCATTCTTAACCTCAGCACTAGATGGTGGTGAGTGGTCAGTTCCAACCCCTGCCATATTCCCCCCCCCGGGAAAGAGCCCCAGTATTTACTGGATAGGAGGCTAGATTAAACAGAAATACTGATCAAATTCCACACTACCCTTATATCACAACTAAGACAATTTTGGATTTGTATGGCAAATACAATGTATGCTCATGTCTCATAACATGCACATACATTTGTTTAGTTAGGAAGCTGATAGACAGGGATCAGTATCACATTCCTTGGCACAGTTATATGAACTACATCTAAATCATTTGTTAGGCAGCAGCAACTTAACATCAGGTACATCAAATATCTGGCAAGAGACTGGCTAGCTAACATTTGTTTTCCACACTCCAAAAACAAACATTCAAGGACACTGTCCTAGAACAGCCTACAGTCTTCCAGTTACATCATTCATACATATCATTCAAAACTGCTGATAAATAGCAAACAAGGACATCTATAATTTTTTATATTGTTCCATTAATGTTTTTTAATTAGCATTTCATTGTCCACTGATGTGTGTCTAGGTGGGATATCTTATGACCTCTTTCTTGTTTCTCCTCCCATAATCACTCCTCTTGTACCTGTTTTCATTCTTTTCTTGCACTCACTTTCAGGTCTCTTCTCAGTTGGTCTCTCCAACCTGTCCCCCCCCCCTCCCCAGTTGTTTATCAAGCATCTTCATTTATGATGCTCTCAAGAGAACCTCACTGCTATCCATTGGTAACATGCCTACCCCAGTGTATGATATCTGATAGGCAACAAGACTCATTCACTTTGCACATGAATTCCATTTCTGCCACGTCTGGAAACATTGTAGGACACCCTTTCCTGATTCAAAATCCATTCAATTCAATATGCCGGATTTTCCAATTCTCGTAGTTCTTATAGGTGTTGTATCCTGACACTCTTGAGGAGAATATTGCGATTTCATATCCTTAATCTTAACACTGTTCTGTTCCTTGGATCGATGTACCCTGGCTGAGCTAAGCATGATGAGTGCAAATCCATGGGTGGTACTGTACAATTTTTTTTAAAGCTTGTAACAAGTAACAACAATCTAACCTTTGTACCCTCAAGAACAGACTGTATAAGCTTAGACAGTGCCGGCTCTCAAACTTATAGCAGAGACCAGTCTTGACATGGACTGGGTTACACTCAAAAATAATCAAAAGGCACCTGCATATCAATCTGCTGTAGTCAGGTACATGTCAGCAAACAGACGCACTCTCTGAAAGTTTCCAGTCTTCACAAACAGCACCTCAGCACACCCTCAGTACTATGTCACTGCAGAGTATGGAAGTCCGTAACAATGTATCAACATACTGCTTACTGAAAATAACATTGGAGAAATGCTGAGTTACAAATAAACAAACGTTCTGGATATTCGCTGCTTGAAAGTGTATGTCACATCCATCATCTTTCATAATGAATGAATATACCTGATGACCTTCATAATTTTTCTAATACTGATGGTACATTTGTACATCGTAACCTTATGTAATAATAATAATAAAATTTTTATAAAGACATCTTCTGGATTGTTGCACAGTAATTCTGCCCTGACTTGGTCTTCTGAAATTGGTAAAGGCATTTCCTTCAAACAGTATATAAGTTACACTGCCACCACTCAAGTCACTTAACACTTTGCAGACCGCACACGCATTAATACGTTTTTCGCTTTTAAACGTGGCGGACCAGTCCCGTATTAATATGTTTTTAGAACATGATAAATCACTTACACTGCAGCTGCATGATAATCCTCTGGAATGTTTGCTGACTAATCAGTTACGTGACCTCGCTGTAACTGTATGCCCCTGCAAAGGAAAATAAATGCCTTTATTTCTTCAAGCTGTATGTAGCATGCTGTCAGTGAGTATGCAATATGGAAACATATAATCCTGGGAAACTTACAAAGTATGGCCTACTTGTTCGTGTAGTTACTGATAGCACTTCAGGCGATATTGGAAATTTAGAATTTTATTCTGGTGAGGGAAAGAAATTATAGGAAACTATTCTTTCCATTTTGGAACCCTATCTTGATCAAAATTACCATATCTATCAAGACAATTATTATAACAGTGTGGCAACTGCAGAAAACCTACTTTCAAGAAAAGTATATGTTTGTGGAACAATTAGGGTGAACAGAGGCCTTCCTCCAGATCTGAAAGAGGAATGTAAATCCCTGAAACGTGGTAAAACCACATTCAGGAGGAAGGGGGATACTCTTGTTGTGAATATGATTTCCACAATTCAAAATTCGAGCATGGTTGATGTTCAAAGGAGACACGGACAGGTAAAGAAGCCTGTTTGTATTTCCATTAAGTAGACAAACTACTATAAGATGTACTACAGAATGCCAAAATAGTAACAGTCCGTTAATTCACAGAGCTTCACAAATTAAGTGAACTTCATGCTTGCACCAACCTGAAGTTCTTTTTCCATGATCTCTTGTCAGCCTTCGGGACATACAAATTTATTTTCAGCTCAGATTACCAGTCTGCCACAGAATAGTCTGATGGTGTTTCCCATTGAAGCCAGTGTTTCTCAACCACCAGGTCACAGCCCAGCATCAGGCCCTCACTTAATAATAACAAGAATTTACCAGGCCACATTTTCACAAAGGTTGAGAACCACTGATCTAAAGTTGCCTAAGACACACTTGCCACACCACTCAACTTTGAAGTGTCCAATACAGCTGATCCTACCAATGGCTATATGCCTGACAGCACACCTCTCAGCCTCACTGGGATGTGCAATCTCCTCTACCAAATAAAAGTACGCTCTCTTGGAAGGATTCCTCTTTCACTTTATAACTGCTATTCATTACTTCCTCCCACCCCGATGGTGTGTCTACTTTGACGTAGTGGAGGGGCTTGCGTGTTCAAATGACCCTGAGAGCTATGTTGGCGGTAGCATAGCTCCTGGTAGAACCACTAATGCCGGACAGATCAAAGGGGATGACCCAGACTAAAAGAGATACCCTGGTCCTCCAGGTTGGGGGTTGGGCGAGAGGCTGACAACCTCTCACCATAAAAAAAAAGTCTCAAAACCTGGAATCAAGCTCTGAAACCTCAACAGACTGGAAGATGACAACTGGCAAAGAATATGGACTACTCTCTAGGTACATGGAATGTGAAAACCCTCAATAAACCCAGTGCCACGAAATCAGCACTGGAACAGATACACAAGTACAATATGAAAATCACAGCCATACAGGAAATTAGATAGCTGGGTAAAGGAATCATGGACTTAAACAGACTGTTTTACAGTGGTAAAGCAGAATGCACTAAGGAATTTGGTGTAGCCTTTGTAATAGAACGAGAATTTAAAAGCATAATAATAGGCTTTAAACCAATAAGTGAAAGAATCTGCACTTTGAGAATTAGAACAAAATTTTTCAATATGACGAACGTGCACGCCTACAGAAGAAAAAGATGTCAAAGACTATTTCTATCAACAAATGGAAGAGACGTATCATTCAATACCAAGTAATGACATAAACGTTATTTTAGGGGATCTTAATGCCAAAATAGGTAAAGAGAAGGAATACAGAGGAGCAATTGGGACAGAAAGTTGACATGATACAACCAACCATAATGTAAAAAAATTAATAGATTTTGCAGAAAGTAAGAACTTGATCATCAGCTCTAGATACTTCCCGCACAAAAATATATATAAAAGAACATGGGCAGCACCGGATAGGGTACCCTTCAGTCAAACAGATCATGTCCTCATAGAGAAGTGATTTGCAATGAATATCCTGGACGTAAGAACATTAAGAGGGACCAACTGTGATAGTGATCATTACTTAGTACAGTTTAAATATAGATGTAAAATAAGTTGTCAAAGTCTAAGCAGTATGAGAAATGTAAGAAATTTAATATTGACAAGATTGTGGAGAGTGATATGAGAGAAGCATTTCAGAATAAAATTAAAGAAATTAATGACAACAGAGCAAATAAAGAAGTAACGGTAGAAGGGATATGGGTAGATTTTAAAACCGCAATAATTACAGAAGCTGAGAAGACTCTGGGATATCAAGAGAAACAGGATAATAGACAATGGTTCGACAAGGAATGTAGGGAGAGTATAAACCTCAAGAATAAGAAATATATGGAGTATATGGAAAGACCAACAAGAGCAAGGAATGAGGCATATAAAGAAGCAAGAAGGAAAGCAGACAGGATTTGCAGGAAAAAGAAACGGGCCTTTCTAAATGAGCAATTACTGCAACTGGAAGAAGACTTCAAAAATAACAAAACAAAAAAAAAAATGCCTTTGGTCGAATCAAATATATGAAAGGTTTCAAACCAAAAATATAATTTATCTGAGACAAAAAAGGGCTTCTAATAAATAATAAAAAAGATTATGAATACATGGAAAGAATATTTTGAACAATTATTATATCAAAATCAGAATATGGAAGATAACAAGGACAATGAAGAAGAAAATACAGACAATGGAGAAGGGGAAGAGGAAGAGATAATGGAACCCTCAACAAATGAAGAAGTGGAAGAAGCATTAAAGGAACAAAAACTAAATAAAGCCCCAGGAGGAGATAACATACCAGAAGAATTATTGAAGGCAGGAGGACAAGGAATAATAGCACTCCACAGAATTATAAATAAAGTGTGGGAAGAAGATACCAGAAGATTGGTAAAGTAACTACAGAGGTATATCATTACTACCAACAGCATATAAAATTTTAACAAGGATACTTAAAAAAAAAAAGAGACTGGATCCATATATAGAAAAAATAATAGGAGAATATCAATCAGGATTTCGACCCAATAGGTCGACAATTTATTCACCCTGAAACAAATAACGGAGAAATGCTGGGAATTTAATATAGATATTTACCTATGCATCATAGATTTTAAACAAGCATATGATACAATAATAAGGAAGAAATCAAGGATGATTATGTCCACTTTTGTTATTCCAACAAAACTAAGTAGAATAACTTAACCATGACAGAAACAATCAATCAAGTTAAAATCCAGAACCAGTTAACGGAATGCTTTAAGACAAATCAAGGATTAAAACGGAGATAGCTTGGCACCATCACTATTTAATTTGGTATTGGAATATATAGTGAGGAAATGTAATGTAGACACAAGGAACACATCAGCGTATAAACAAACACAAATAATGGTGTATGCGGATATTATTATAGTATCAAGATCCCTAAGAGCAATGGAGACATATAAAGAAATAAAAACCATAGCAAAAACAACTGGCTTAGATGTGAATGTAAATAAAACTAAAATGCTGATAGTCTAGAAGGAATCCAAGGCAAACTGGAGAAATTAACATGGAGGGGGACGGGATAGAAATAGTTGAAGACTTCATATACTTAGGGTCAAAATTCCACAAAGATGGAGAGGAAAATCATGAAATAATAATAAAACGAATAGTGAATAATGCACATTTCTCATTACTATCAGTTTTCAGATCAAAGGATATACACTGAGTGATTAAAACAAAAATATATAAAACAGTCACTCATCAATTCATTCGAGAGGAAAATCATGAGACGAATTTATAGACCAATAAGAGAGAACGGGATATGGAGAATAAGATATAATAAAGTAAAGTAAAAAGTAAAGCTATCCCTGTAACAGGCCATGAAGGCCCATAGGGTTGTGAGACATTGAGGATCCCACATTATCTAGACAATCGGCTCAAAGATGGCGGTAAGGCTGTCAGCCTTACGCGCCAGCCGCACTTTACTCCACAGGAAAATTATTTAATTAATTCCTGGTACTAATTTCTGTTAAGAGGATGAGTGAACCCCAGTGCCATAGTGCGGCCAGAAGGATTAGGTAAACTGAAAAAAATCCAATAACCTCATCGGTATTTAAATCGCAACCTTCCGACTTTTAGCAGTGCCTTAAAATACAATAAAGAGTTATACAAATCATATAAGGAGCCAGAGATCTGTGACGATAAAGCTTAAAAAGATTGGGCTGAGCACATACAGAGAATGGATAAGGAGCATATCCCAAAGAAAATACTATACAGTACAACATGCGGCAGGAGATGCGCTGGGAAACCAAGAACTAGGTGGATTGATGCGGTGGAAGAAGATGCGAAGAAGTGATGGGTGTAAGGAGCTGGAAGAGAGCAGCGCAGGGCAGAGAGGAATGGAGGGGATGGGTAAGGGAGGCCAAGGCCCGACATCTGGCTGTTGCGCCATAGACGAAGAAGATTCATTACTTTTCCCCCCATATGATAATATACATTCTATACTTTAACAGTTAAAAGAAGTTAAGTAATGTGTAGCAGTAAGCATCTGCAGGGACTTACAAAGCAGCCTTTTTAAAGGTACTACCAAGCCCAGAATTCTCCTGCAAAGACTGAAAAAAACCACAGAAATCTCAGGCCCAGATTCAAACCAAGCACTTGTTCAGCACAAGTCTAGACATCTGGCCACAAAGGCTGTGTTTGTGCAAGAGTACATGAAATAAAATGGAATGGAGATGGGGGTAATATTTCAAGACAACATGATGAGTTGGTATTACAATAAATGCGGAGTATGTAAAATCGGTGGTTTATTGCTGTATGTCTGTATTGCTTCAATGTGACTGATTCAGATAAATTATGTACACAAGCTTTATTTTTCTTATCACTTCTGCAATATAAGTAACATAATTTGCTTAATGCAAGATGTTACAATTTTTTGTACAATATTTTTATAAAAGTGAAAAATATATATTTAAATAACATCAGGTCATTCACAACTAGTTTAAACACAAACTGATTACAATAAAATACAATGAACACAATTATTTTGGAATTACAGTACATTTTAAGCCAACAACAGCTGTACCAACTGAAATTATATTGTCACAATGAAAAGGAATGCATCTTAACACTTCTCAAATTTCATGATTACCAGCGATGATGTATTGCTAGTGATACATTAGGCCATATACCTATATGAAAGTGTTTTCTTCGCGTTTTCACTTATAAGGCACTGTAACAACAGAGAAAACTTATCTCAAAGATTTAACTGATATGTAAATTTCTAATGCGCAGAAAGTAAATAGATTTTGATATGTAAATTTCTGATGCCCATAAACTAAAATTGGCTTTTGGTATGGTATGCATGCACACACATGCATCTCTGGCTGTGCATCCCCAAAGTGCCCAAATAACTGAGAGGACCATTTTCAGGTTTTTATTCTCAGTGAATGCACTCATGAGTAGAGTACTATCCTAATGCTTCAACAGATCACAGATTCCAGAGGATAACTACGGCATAAATATGTGGGTGTTCAGTTCTAGGTGTAAAACATAAGATACATTAATTTTCAAGGATTGACAAGACATGGTGTCATGAAGTACTTTTAATTTACAAAACGTGTTACCAACAAGTAGACATATCTGCAACAGGAGCTAAAGATCAAATGAGAAAAACCTGAGAATTTAAATACTAAACATAACACACAATATAGTTGTATTTACAGTCTGAGGTGAGCTGAAGCAACATTAAAAAAGATGATCATCTACAAAAGACCGCAGATAATTCATGTAAGATGAAGTTCGCTCTTAACACTTATAAATTATATATTGCATACAGCATCAAACCAATACCTCCCTTTGGTTTTAAGAGTGATGCAACCAAGTTCTATGATGTAAACCTCGCACATGAATGCAATTTGGTCATGCATGTCCTGAAACTGAGAAGATGGAATCAAAACTGAACTTTGCTATTTCAGATCCTTAGCTGCCATACTTGGTTGTAACCACTTCATACTTTGTGTTATGGGACAAAAATATTATATTCTAGCATCCTGTTGCACATCACTTATAATCCAACAAATGTCACCGATTCACCGTCTTATGTGCAACACGTCCTTCTAAAACTTTTAAATAAGTTTTGAAAAGGACGTGTTGCATGGAAGATATTACATCTTTTTAAAACTTATTTTAAAAATTTTCTACACTACATGTTTCGACTGACACTGGTCATCATCAGGTGTTTAAAATTGTTGGTGAAAACTGCTGCTTCCGTTTTTGTGGTTCTAATATCTGATGTGTAGTCCCATCTACACACGTGTGTATTCCATAGTACTGGGTGGGTCTTCCTGCTGTGTGTGTCTAGACTGAGTGCTTGCTATCTGATGTTTTTCAAATACTGGGTTATTGGCATCAATATGGGCATCATTCATGTCTAATGTTTCTACTGTGGTAGTTCTCCAATGTATTCGGATGCTTTTCCTTTCTCTCTAGTTTCATAATTTTCTTTGAATCAGTTATGCTCCTGTATGAGTGTCCCGTACTTAATATGTGATTTGAATATCCCAGAGTTACTGATGTTATTCCTAATTGCATGTGTCTACTATTTATATCTGGTATAAAATATTCAGCCTGTTTGCCCTATTTATTTTAGTGGGTAATCAATGCATTTCATATGGTACACACCATTTTTTTATATCTATTTGTGGATGTGGTTTTACCATCTTTTGTATTGTGCTTCTTGTTCAAAATGCTATTCTTATTTGTGTCCATAAAGTTTTCGAATTTTCTTTTCCACTTAAAAATGGCACATTTCGTTTTCTGGTGTTCTCTATCTGTATTTTTGTGGTGTTTGCACTGATTTGAATGTCTTGTGTTTAAGTTTTTTATTGTATTCATTGTTATGCAATGTCTTGTACAATACTTAGTGCACATTGTTCACATATACCCAGTAACAAAAGCAGCAAAAGAAAGGGAACTAAATAACATACAAGACACATTGCACTTACCTAATTTAATAAAGCTTATTTTAAAATTATTATTATATAAGTGTTTCAATATATTAAAAACTGTAATGCTATTTAAAACTTTTAAGTGGATCCATTACAATACAGAGTCCAGTGAAGAACATAGATGGATTTTACATTTTATAAATGCCTGATGATGGTTGTAAATGACTGAAACATGTAGCAAAAAATAAAACCTTAATAAACTGATTTTATCGACATTCGAGCCTATCGGTTATTTAAAGGAAGTGCAGAATTGCTGTGATCAATGGAAAATTCAGGCTGTACACAAAATGTATGTGAAGTACCTACATAACAGAGTTTTTCTTGTAAACAAACACTTGTTCCAACAGTGCCTTACTGGTGATAAACAGGCAATGATAAATTTCTGCATACATTTGTTAAAATTATATTCAAAATGAAAAGTACTGATGTTTAACACTATGCTATATTTAACAGCAGAAATAGCAAATAATGTCCCCTTTCCCTCACCCTGCTAAACACCCTATAATGTTTTCTTAAACCTATATCAATCAACTGACTGCTACCATCAGGATACATAAATTTAATATGAAATGGTTACATATAACGCATCAAATGTGTTCTGACTGAGGCACTGATGAGAAGTCTTGTCTTTATTTCCAAATCAGGCTTCAAAGAAAAGAAATATATGTACTAGTATTTACTAAATTATATCTTTCACTTCAAAAATTAAGTTAATTTTACAGTCAATGGTCCTGTTTCCAAACTCTACCTTATATTATCTTCATTCAAGAAACTTATTCAAAATAATAGTATGAAAGGTTAATTAGAATCTTTACTCAATGGCACCTAAGCAAACTACATTACTATTACTATACTGGTCTTCAAAAAGGTAAACACAATAAGTGATTTCCTGGCTATCTATTTCTCATCTGGTTGGTTGAAACACAATCCAATGATGAATCTGGTACCTGTACAAGTTCCAGTAGGCTTTCATACCAATATTTAAATAACAAAAAACCATATTTTAAATGGCATAATAATTAGAATGGCAATCGTATCTTCAGTATATGCACCCTGAAAACTGTTTACATATATACAGTGAATTTTTAAACGTTTACCAATAAGGGCACATAAACTTCCCACTATGATATGGATATTTCCGGCTAATGTATGCAATATCACATCACTTTCCCCACGAATACCAATCAATAATTCCACATTCTTTTCTCATTCTCCTATGCCACCTGCACCAACCAAAGCCTTACGGTCATCTTCTGACTAACATGTAGAAGTATTTTGATAATTGTCACTCAGAATTGTATTTGCTACTGAGAAAGGGCATCTCGATATTACACGAGTATTTGTGTCACAGTAGCAAGATGGTGCATACAGTACTTCTCTGAATATTTTGAGACTGAGATAAGATTTGAGTATTCTTAGCCTAGACATTACTACAAATTTTTTGACCTCAGCTGTAGAGATGAATATGCTGTAAAACTACACAAAATATGGATGAATATATGAATATAAATAAACAGTGGTCAAAGGCTTAATGTACTGTAATCTTAAAAATGAATATAACTTACATAACACTAACATAATAACACCTCTTATTTCTTGTAGTACACAGTCCAGGTACTTAAAAAGCTTGTTCACAGGCCCTTGCAGGTTAATATTACACTTACAAAATAATTCAATTTCAACAAAGTAAACTATCACAACATATTAACTTATGAGGGTATCATCATGTACCTAAAATGTAATGGCTGTCCATAAATAACAGAGGTATCACATTTAACCTACTGTGTCATAATATAAAACCTGGTAATTAAACTTATTATATTTTAGCATCTCCAGTACACAGGTAGACCACACAAGTAATCATACATCACACAAAACCTACGATAGCCTCAACAGAGTGCAACGACAGCATTCTGATCGTTAGATAGAATTATATATTACATCCATGGAAGCACAGTGAACAAGTATACAGTGCAGTGGTCTCCCCGAAAGAAAATAAAGTACCTGATGATGGCCCATGTGGCCGAAACATGTCAAAAACTAGAACAAATATATGACTAAAGACATTTTAGATAACTGGATAATCACTTTTAATGTAAAGAATGTGATTTTAATGTCCTGTTGACATGTAATGATTTTGATATTATCAAAAAGTACTGAAATACATTTTTAGTGTAAAACATATTCTTAATGTCTTTTATAGTGTTGCATTATTGACGGATACTTTGATAATAAGGATGCTGGTATTTAAACATTGTTTCCAAGCCACAGCATGTTTATAAGACATACACTGTTATTGCACAACATAAGGAATACCAAACCAACCAATTCAGATATGGTTAAAGAATTTATCATGTAACTTTTACAGATGCCACAAATGCATCACAAACCATGTCAATCACATCAGCAACAACCACTACAACATCAAATTTCTTCCATCTGAAATGTAAACAATTCCCTGAACTGTATCAACACAGTGGCACACTTAGACAGCTGCCAAACATCCATCCATCCATTGAAACAATGTTAGCTACTTCAGAAGGCTGTGAATGTCACTGGATGAAAGACTATTTAATTTTGCTATCACGCATCACAATATACCTATACAGTATGAAAATTCTGAAGGATTTTATTACATATATTTTAATTTCATATTGTTACTTTGAATAAACAGTATCAAATAATGCATAAAACACAAAACTTTGGTTCAGATTATCCTAAAATTTCTGATGACATTAATGGAAAGAAACATCTCCTAACATGTTCAATGAATCTGAACAATCATTTATTACTAATGACCATTATAATTTAGCATGGATGCAAATATACCCACACACAAAGATACATACATAAAAATGTCTTTTTGCTTCAAGAGAATTCTGACAGGATCTTTATAATTTCAGATGTATCATTTTATACTGTGTCATAAACAATGTACGTCTTGTTTAACTTTATACCTTAATCCAATTCTACAATCTCCATCTGTTGACTCTTATCCTCTGTACCTTTATATATCAACTGCCACAGATGCAGAAGAAATCATTCATCCAGTCCTGCACAACACACAGTATGATGTGTGGTATTCCAATCCTCTAGCTAGAACACACAATAAGTAACAATGTTCAACACTTTTACATTAGAAGTTAACATTTTAAAGCACTTGATTCATGCCTAATTAATTCAAATTTTGTCTGGTACTACCTTCAGTTACTTCGGAAACTGACAGAATGGAACAGTACAACTAATATAAATATCAGGTCACAGAGGAAATAGGGAAATAAATTAATTTACTGGCAAAAAGAAAAAAGAGCTCACAAGTTCATCTGCATTATAGAGAACCTGAAACATGGTTGCTAGTGTCCAAGTGTGCATCACAGACAGTATAAACAGAAAAAATCTTAAACACCATAGTCTGTTTCACCAGAACTGGTGGCTGAATAAGCTTTTGCTCCTTGTGAGTGAATAATCAGTGCAAAAAGAGGTCTCCTGACAAGGATCAGGAATTCAGTCTGTTCAAAAACTGCCTAGCAGAAGGATGGACTGTCAAACTGGATTGCTGCAAGTTCACAACTGTTCCTTGCACAGTACTGTAAGCTTATTTTATGATGGAAAAGGTAGGCATGAATTTGCAGTCAAGCTTGTAAATTAACACACAATATTCATAAGTATTTCAGAAAGAGGCCCACTCATATCCTAAAAGTTCCACATGAAGTTGCTGCAGCATGTACTGGGAAGTGAAACACTTAAGGCTTACCATTGCAAAAATCACGATGCTGTCAAAAAATATAGCTGGCCTGGACTTGAACCACATACGCATAGCACCATAATTAACAATTTCCAGGACTGTCACTTCTCTACAAGATTCTGTTTGGGAGAAACAGGTGAGGCAGAGAGAGAGAGAAAGATAAGATCATCCATTGTTTTCACAAACCCAATGCCTTTCTTACACCGGAAGTAATGGAGAAATTAGTAGTAAGGAAGAAAGATGACTTGAAAAATAAGTTGCATTTAATATGGAAATATATGTGAAATAAAGGAGAAATAAGTTTGCTTAAGACTTGATGTCATGCAAGAAGTGTAAAACCTCTACCATCATGCCAAACTTAATCAGCATATGGGCAACAGTATGAAAATGTATAAAGGAAAAGCAAACACTCACCCGCTCTTCATCTTTATATATAGCATGCATGTTTATAATTCTTTCTGTGGAGTGCACCTGTGAGGTGCACACTGTATACTTTTACAGTATTGTTTGTATTGTATGTATCTGATGAAATTCAGTTCAAGATTCGCATAAAATAAGGATTATAGTCGATATGAACAAAAATTAAATTCGCTTCACAATTTTATTACTATATACTCATGCCAATCTCAAAGCTATCAAAACACATCAAGTAATTTCAGATACATTTAATTGTTCACTTCCTGTGATGCTTTTCTTACCTGACATTCTGCACTGCAGTAGCATGTGACGAGGCATCCAGAGCACTTGACCTCTGCTGGCTTCTCACAAACTGCACACTGAACAGACTCCATCTTCTCTCTCACAACTGCCACCTGAACAAACAGAAATGCTACGCTAATCACAATGTCACATTATTTGGTGACTATAGATGGGGTTTGGATTGGTAACTAGATTGTCCCCTGGTAACAGCTTCATCAGCTTTCATGGTCACATCCTTACTGGCCAGTGACTGTTTCAAAATTCACTCAATGTTCAAACTGACTCTCAGGCTGGCAGCCATCTCACACCAACATACTCTTCTCACTGCCATCTCAAGACTCTCTCATAATTACAGCTGCTCATTATGAAGCATTGGCAGGGACCACATAGAAAACACCTCCCAACAGTTCTCTTGTTGTGTCATGTTGCTATCACATGGACTGCATAGAGAACACCACTTCCCAGTTACTACAGTACTTCATGTTAACAATTCCATTATTTAGCAACGGCTCTTTTCAGTCATGTCACAATATAATTAGATGCAACAACCATGGATGTCTGGTAATACAGTGTTACTGCAAATTATTATTATTATTATTAATTATTCATAGGGGGTAGCTTTCCCCATGCACTGCGATCATTTATTGATCTATTGTGCATCCCCCCTTTAATTATTCTAACTAGTCGCCATGCCCTTCCAGTACTGGTGCTCGCTATCAGCCCCATTCTGCCAGCGAGGTCAGCCCTCTCTGGTAGTGGTCCCCGATACTTCCCCATCTACCAGAGGAACTGGAAACTACTTGTGCGGGAAACTTGCCTAATTTTGCTCAGAGGTCTCCTACAGACATGAGGATCTTTTACGTACCGTAAATCTACGACATGGGACACATGGCTGAAAGTCCCTCCCGGAGGACTTGACCCCTGAATTTTTCCGCCCTTAAAAATTCCACGACCTCCGCCGGATTTGAACCCGCGTACCTTGAGGTGGGAATGTTACCCCTAGATTACGGAGGCTGCTCTACTGCAAATTAAGTAATTTCTTAGAATTTATTGGCTGGCTTATAAAAGTTACACTAGGATCACTTGATAGAAAGAAGTCTTGATGTCTTAAAATCCTGCACAAGGCACTTCTAAAAGAAGATAAGCAGCTCTATTCATAAAGGTACAAAATTGTGACCGCTAGTGTTCCATCCTTAGTGAACCTGGTAAAACATAAAATTTGTGAAACTGCATGAATTTAAGAACAAACCTCACAAAAAGTGGAATGAGTTGCCGTATGGATTAGATGTTTCAAGAATTACAAATACAGCCCATATCCAGCATCTATGAAAAAAATGTTTACAGTTTCCACTAACATTAATTTAAGCTCTGTAGAAAGCAGACATTTCTAAAATTGTATACTTTGTTTCTAATTAATAAGCACAGAAACCTAGAGATTCAATGCCACTAACACCAGAGCTCACCACTGGGCAAGATCCTGCCTGCACTAGTTCACATCCACTGCACCAAGCATGTTTTCTCCGTGCTATGTTCTTGACACCCACAATACAACGTTTCAGAATGAACAACACACTCACACGCCCGAACACCAAAATTCTAACATAATGGATACTTCCATTCTCTCCCCCCCAAAAAAGAGGGATCCCAGTGAATTTGTCATACACATACTGCATAATTCACTAATGGACATTTCCAAGATTGAAAACCTAATGGCTAATCATAATATTCATCTGAATAAAGCCCAGCTACTCTGAAGATCTGGGTACGCTGTATCTTGTGCAGCAACCTTATGGAAGAAAAGTCCTGTGTAAGTATGTATGAATTTCCAGAAGTATGTTTAAAATAAAAACTCATAACTTTCTAATGACATAATTATCTACGTCACTTAACTGATAATGGCACACCCTTGTTCCCATATCAGACCATTGGCAGGGGCTTGACTGAAACCTACTAATGCTTGAAAAGGTTAAGAACTGGCACAAGGGGGGGACCAGCATCATCACCCTCAACCCCTCGTTTCACACTCCATATACTAGAAAGGAGCAACTGCCAAATTCCCAATGGCTGCACAGGGGACGAGCTATGCTTTGCAACTGTCCCCAGGCCTGACATAATCACAGAACTGCCAGCAAGGAAGCTGACTAAGCCATATTTTGCAGATGGCATCTGGGGAAAATCTCCCCATCTTTTACGTGCTGGTGGAGCTTACTCTGGGGCAGTGTGTGAAAGAAACTTAGCATTCATTGCAAAAACCACAGGCGAGAGCATACTTGGGCTGCATGTCCTGTGAGCTTATGATGTAACAGCCGATTTTAGGCACCACATGCTACAACTGGGCCAGGTATTGTTATGGCGTCCTGGAAAAAGACCACGATTATTCTTCCTTATGCTGGTTGACCACGAGTTCAGTGGCTCGGTGTAAGTTTGGTGACTGCACATCTGAGGAGAAGGGGGCTGGAGAGGTTGAAGAGCCTGGTGGAACCTACGTTTTGGACTGCATAGCTAACAGGGAGGGGGCTGGAGGGGATGAACAGCCTACTGCAACCCACGTTTTGAAGATTTTCCAACGAGAAGTATTTCACACAGCTGGTAAAATTAATTTTAATTTTAATGAAGTAAAACTAAAATAGATAATTATTACTGTTATCAGTTAAAATTTCTTTTGTTTGTGACTTTTAAATATCTTTCCTGATCACTCACAGGCAGTCTGTATTTATCACAGTAGCTGCTGCCATTTACACATGTACACATGCAAATACATTAAATAAGTTACAAAGTTAGTAGAATTTTCCATCCAGTGTGGCAATAGAGGTCACGTCTCTTTTATTATTCTTGCCTTACATGTTTCTGTTTAATTAAAACCATCATCAGAGGCACTTTTCATATGGCAGGAGACACTGTTAATTAAGCTGGTTTGATGTTCACTTTTAGTTGTGTTATTCACAGATGTATGTTTCGTATTATATAATTTCCCTTCACCTGTAGACAGAAGTAGACCATACTCTGAGAATATAATGAACATTAAGTATTTACTCAGATAGTGAATCAAATGCTGGTGCATCTTAACTCCACCATTCTCCATCATCATGATCACCCGCAGCAGGCTACAATAGGCCAATCAGTGGCTGCCATGCCAAAGTGAACTCAGTTGGACTCCACCCCCCACTAAGCGAATTAAAAAAATTGAAAAAAAAAAAATTGCTGGTCCCACCTACAAGTAAAACATCACAGTTGTCTGAAACTATTGTTGATTCATATAAATAGGAGTATCTGCAACAAGTTTTACTGCTACTTGTTATTACAATTCCCTCTCACAGTTCCGTCCCCATAAATGTTGTTCCTTCATCCTGCTTTCTTTGTTTCATCATCTTGATTGTGTTATAATTAGACTGGGTGAACTTAGGCACATCTGTGAAATAACTACACTAATAACATCTATCAAGGTTAGTGAACTGAAACTAGTGTCAATCTTTTTGAATAGGCTGAAGTTTAAGATTGCAGAATTTGCAGTTAGAAGTGGACATGGATTGAAGGTAATGGATGGTAAACTCATTGCCAAGAGGCCAGCCCCTGCTTGAGACTGATGATTTATAAATGTAGGTGCAACATCTAATTACAGCACATGTGAAGCATTAGTAGGGCGTTTTGTTTTCATAGCTACGCATGTCTATGTAAGCAGCATCTTTGATTCACATGTAGGTGATGGAGTCCCATGCCACTGTAGAAAAATGACCAGCTCTTCATCCCTCCTAAATTCTATTCATTATTTGATGCAGTAATTAACTGTAGTATTAGCACACATCATACACAATCCAACACATTGGAAGGTTTCTCAAGTAACTTACAAAATGATTAAATTACCATGTGTGATGGATGATAAAGAAATTAGCAGAAAATCACAGAATTATTTTAGTGAAACAGAGAAGCAATAAATGTAAATGTATTCTGTATAGTTTTTTCACTTTATAGACTGTTTCGGCCATTCGGACCATCATCAGGTAGGTTATTCTATGTTAACACTATACTTTTTCTGCTATTCCCCTTCATTGGCCAATTTTTAGAGGGAAGGTCGTGTCATTGCAAGCTTAAAACATTAGGCTAAAATTAATAAGTAAAATAAAATAGATTATTATTGTTATCAATTAAAATTCCTCTCTCTTGTAGCTTTTAAATGTCTTTCATGGTCACTCACAAGTGGTCAGTCCCAGTCACTTGTCAAAGGAACATCACCAAGTTTTACTATACTACACAAAAGTGAAGACCTTGACCCCCGCACTTCGGTTACAATCTCACTTAATTACAATTAATATAGTGCTGTGACTGATTTACACAATTTACAATTCACTGTTGCACATACACTAGGATTCTACTAGTCATGTCCTGGCAGTGGATCTCAACACAGAAACTATCACTTCAAATCACTATCAAGTCTTCTTCTTTCTCCCTCTTCAGTCACTCTGTACTCCCCTGCCCTAATCTGTACTCAACTAATCTTCACAATTCATTAAGGACATGCTCCATTCACATCCTTGTGCTCTCAACTGCACTGAACACTCATCTAGAACACTGGACCAAGCTCAATGGGGTGTACTGTCAGGATGATGACTGTGATAAATCAAGGCCAGATGTTGGCTCTTGGCACCACTCTGGGCCAATGAGAACTGGTCACACGGGCAGTGCCAGCCAAAAGTTTGGAACCCTAAATTCCAGACACGAGATCTGTCAGCAACTGCAAGAGGTAGTGCCTGCTGCCTGGCCAAACCTGAATACCAGAGAAGCCTGAGAGCTGGAGTTAATCACCTAATTCCAGGATATTTTGCCAACAAATAGCAACAGATATGAATGTCAGCCCCTTTGAAGACACCCTACCCACGATCACAGCAGGACTAACTGGACTAAATGTACTGAGGGACATAAAAAGTCAAGGGATAATACTTGGTCTTCACCGGCCATGCTCATCAGCAAGAAGAAAGGATACTTTCAATTCTGCACAGATGACTGAAGGCTGAATGACGTTACTAATCACCACTCCCTTGTACCAAGGACATCTGGATATGGTCACCCAGGATAAATGGTTCTCAACCCTGGACTTGAAGACTGGAAAGTTGCTCTGCACCTTAGCCACTATGAGAATGGGACTATGGCAGTTCACAGTTATGCCCTTTGGCCTCTCCAATGTTACTGTGGCTGATAAGAATGCATCCCTCGGGGTCTAACTTATGAAGCCTGCATGGTCTACCAGGATTATCCAGTCACTGCAAGCCTGACAGGAATGAGCTCTACTAATTAGTTCCAACAGATTAGGTTTCCTTTATCTAAGGATGGAGGCATAGGCCAATCTTTGAGATGTAATTTCAGATAGGTCAGGATTATGGATTATGTCCACAACATTGATCAGTGTATGTTATACTGCTGCAAAACAAATTCTGCATTAGATAATATTACCAAAAATCTAACCTATACTGCTTCCAAAAATATAAATTATAAAACAAACAGTGATTTACATTTAGCTTTCTCTACGAGAAGTTGCATTCAAGAGTTTTAATATATTTAGTGCAATACAAAACTGAACCCATCACACTACAATGTGGGCTACCTACCTCCAGTTTATCTTCCGTAAGGATAACACGCTTGTAGCAATTCATAATATTCAACTTTCTACCTTTCACAAACATTCCCCATTTAATAAACTGTACAATCTACCTGACATTTCACCTGACCTCAGATTTCTAACTTATTTTACATCACCTTGGGGCAGATCCCCCCTACCTCTTAATCACTGACACTATGCTATACAGAGAGGTCCTGATGGGGAAACTGATGCACTCTGCCTCTGGTAACAGAATTGGGAAGTACACGCATTCTGGACTAGCACACAGTACACCATTTCAATTGCTGGTGGTATTCACATCATCCATCCCCACATTAATGAATAGCCAATACATATCCCACATAAACTACAGGATTTCAAGAAAAAAATTAACTCTACAAACACACGCACTTAAATACTTTACATTAATGCATTAAAAAAACAATTCTAGAAAATAATACACATATGAGCCATATAAGCACATTATAAATCAATACAATTTATTTAATGTTGTTATAAAACAAACCATGCAAAATGACAATGCCTATCACTTTACAAGGAATTTTATTTTTAAGGCTGTGTCCATTACATATATCAAAAGATGTGCCAGAATCATGCACACAGTGCTTTAATGCAAATTCATTTTCTTGACATCATGACAAACTGGCAAAGGGCCCACCTCTGATTCCTGCCACATCAGTGAAGTCAGCTCAGTATTGTACCATGCTGCTGATACTGCATCCTCACACTCAAACCATGTCTGTAGTTTGCTATCCTTGTAATCCTCTTCCAGGAGAGGTTTATTGTCTTCATACTCTTCGCCTACCAGCAGTGTGTCTTCAGGCTGGTATGTATTTTCTGTCATTTGAAAATCTAGTTTCTTCACAGGAATTTCCTGAAATCAGTACAGTGACCTCATCTTTGTCTTCAGTTTCATAGTTTGCCCCTTCCTTAACATATACTTCCTTATATGGGGGCTATTCAGAAAGTAACCTCGACTGAGCTGTTAAAAAAACAAGGAGTGAGGAAATATTGTTTATTATATACAAAAAAATATGTACACATTTCAACTACTTCTCAAGGTGGTCACCGCCAGAATTACAGAATTTGTCCTATCGGGGAACTTTTTGTATGCCTGCATTAAAGTCTGCCACCTGTGAGCTCACCTACATTTTGACACCTTCCATCAGCTTATGTTGAAGTGCTGTGATCTGAACCAGTTCTTCAGTTAGGTAAACAGGTTGTAGTCACTTGGAGTAAGATTGGGGCTGTAAGATGGGTGGTCAAACTCCTGCCTGAAATGCTCCAGCAGTGTTTAAGTGTAAGCTGCTATATGCAGACATGCAATGTCATGGAGAAGCATTAAAAGTAAACTGATGTCAGCATGCCACCCTGTTTGTTCTGAATGCCGCAACACAGTGAAAACAATTCCCATCAGCTTTGTGGCAGATGTCTGTTTAAAGTTTTTCAATTTGTTTGGTGAATGTGTTTGCAACCACTGCTTTCATTGCTCTCTGGTTTCAACATTCATAAACGAAACCCAGAATTCATCACCTGTCACTCATATGATGTGAATGCGAAATTCATCGCCATCTTTGTGGAATCACTCTAAAAAAAAATCAAATTCAAAGCTGAAGCCATTCTATGCGTTTTGTGCATACCCGTGAGCATTTGCAAAACCCATCTTGCACAAAACCTGTGATAGCCTAGACTAACTGTGATTATCTCATACAGAACAGTGTGTGAAATTGCATTCCACCAATTGCTCCACACTGGAATGGCACCATTTGCATTCTCCATCAAAAAGGAAGGCAAAGACAGTGCCACCAGCTGCGAAGGTGATGGGCACAGTCTTCTGGGATGCAAGGGGGTTTATTCTGGCCGAATTCCTGGAACCTGGGCAAACCATCAATGCTGCTAGTTACGTCAAGACACTGCACAAGCTCCATCGTGCATTGCACGATAAATGCCCGGGAGAAACATCCTGCATGACAACACTCGCCCCCACACCGCTCACCTCACATTGGAAGCAATTGCAAACATGGGGTGGGAAGTTCTACCACACCCCTCCTATAACCCTGATCTGGCACCCTCCAACTACCATCTTTTCGGATATGTGAAGGATCAGCTGCGTGGACATTTCGAGACAAGGGAGGCAATTCAGAAAGCAGTACGTCAGTGTCTTCGGATGGCTGGAACGGAATATTACAGAAGGGGAATTTTCAAACTCCCAGAACGCTGGAAGAAATGTGTACAAAGAAGTGGCGATTATGTGGAAAAATAAAGAAAGGTCTGTTGATTGAGGTGGTGTATTTGGTTTGTCAATAATAGAGCACGTTACTTCACAAAAAATTGTTGCTCCTGACTTTCAGTATGACCCTCGTAAATACATAATGCCACCTGCACATCTTCTGAAAGTTACATGTGAGTAAAGTGAGCCAATTCCCAAATAAACCTACAGGCAACAACCCAAAAGTTATCTTTACTACTTCAGTGGTACTTAAAACACAATCCTCTATTAAACATTAAAATTCTCAGAACTATAACATGAAGAGTACTAACATGTGAGATAGTGGCCACGCCACAGCTCAAGCGGTTGGTCCCTGGCTTCCCACCGTGATGGCCCGCATTCAATCCCGGGTCTGGTCAAGTCAGATTTATGGTGGACAATGTGGCGCTGGGGCAGGTTTTCTCCGAGTACTTCGGTTTCCCCTGCCAACCTTCACTCCACCAAATTATCCATCACCATAATCACCCAGGGCAGGCTACAATAGGCTAATCAGTGGCCACCATACTGAGTGGACCCAGTGTGACTCCAACCCCCCACTAAGCAAATTAAAAAAAAAAAATTAACTTGTGAGATATAATGCCATGTAGTCTGCTGAAAGTCAACCGACATTTCAGAGGAACTACTATTTCCATCTTCAAGATCAAATAAGCAAAGTGATGTACCAGGATGAAAGCAGGTGGCAAGCCAAACTTAACGGACTACACTGTATTACATCCCAGAAGATAGTACTCTTCATAACCACCGCTATGAGAACAAGTCCTACATAATACTATGTTTATTCCGTATAAATGAAAAAGTAAAAATAACAATATTTCTGAGATGCTTACCTTCTGATCACTTCCAGTCCCAACATCTCCAGCCATGGGAGATGGTGTCTTGTAACCACTGTCCCGAGAAACAGTTCGTGATTGTGGCAGTACTTCACAAATCTGTAGAACATCAATTATAATAAATAAATAAGCCACCCACTTACAATAAGATGGATGAAAGACGAAACATGCTCTTATATATAAATTCTATCGATAACTACATCAAAACATGAGGATCCAAGAACTCATACAGCCTGTTTTTCTATTGAACAGACTCCCAAGGCTATAATCAATTACATTTAAAACCAATCAATGCACTACCCTGTTGTTCAGTTATTTTTATGTGCTCATGTGCTGACAGTTATAGGGCTGAATCATGGTCCAAATCACCATATTCTTATTGCCCGCAATAGTTAATATTATTACTAATACGTGATCTGTACTGATTTCTTTGTGGGAGGTGGTGATAATTTACAGCTAGTTAGTTAGTTATTTAGAGAGGGTGGGTTTCCCCATGCACCGCGACCAGTTTGATCTATTGTGCTTCCCTCTATGATATTCTACCAGTCTCTTTACCCTACCGATAAATGGTGCATACCATCAGTCCCGCCGAGCAAGTGAGTTCGGCCACTTGCTTAGTGGTGTCTATAATGCTTCCCCCATCTATCAGAGGCCTTAGAGGCTATTGTTGGGCGGGAAGCGTCCTGGAATTTTGTTCAGTGATCCCCTTTGGGGATATGAGGTTCTTTTACGTGCCGTAAAGTTACGACATGGGACACACAGCTTAAAGTCCCTCCCGGAGGACTTGTTCCCTGAATTTTTCCGCCCTTAAAAATTCGACGACCTCCGCCAGGTATCTGAACCCGCGTACCAAGAGTCATGAGGTAGGAACATTACCTCTATAGAGTACGGAGACCGCTTAATTTACAGCTAAAGCAGAGAGCTTCCCTATATGAAATTTGTCAGATATGAGCTCAATGTTTCTCACTTTCACTATACTGTTGCTGAGTCGCTTATAAATAATACCATACAGAATTTTCAGGCATGTTTATGATCCATTTCCTTTCTGTGGTTCATTAGTTACTGCCATCTAGTGAATGAATGTATAAGGGGGGTGGGCCTTCTCGGCCGTTGCACCGCAACCTACACTGGTCTATTGTGCTTACTGCCAACTAACCGAAGCTATATACCGTATTTATGCACGTATAGGCCGCAGCACAATTTTCAGACAGAAATTATAGAAAAAATAATTTTCTTGGAATATTATTTCAGGAGTAGAACACCCTGTATTACTAATTATGAATGTAATTTTTTTTAAATGAAGTGTGATTTCGAATATTTCGAATATAAGCCGCACCCCAGTTTTCCTCTTGAATTTTTGGCAAAAAATGTGCGGCCTATACATGCGTAAATACGGTAGATTTTATTAAGCCTTATTTAGCAGTCCAGGAAAAAATGTGCTTAACAGAAATTACATATTTATAGATTTACTGTTATTTCAAAGGCCCATATTAGGCGGTGCTGGTGTTGCTCCCACATTACAAGTTTGTGTTATCAGCCACCTGTACCAACTGTAGAAAACAATGTTTGTATGGAATCCAATACCATGTTCATGTTAAATGTGGTAGAAAATGGTCAACCACTTCAGCATTTGCACAAGCACAACAAAGGGCCAACACAGTGATCTCACAACTCTATCCACCCCCCTTAAAAGGATAAGTTTGTTAAAACTAACAGAAAATCAAACATAGAAATGTCCTTGAACATTATTCTGAGTTGCATAACATTTGTAAATGTTGGTAACTAAACATTTGTTGGACCTATAAAAGAACAAGCAAGGTTTCCTGCTTCCCCACCCACAATACCATGTGCCTTTCATACTGTATGTTTAGTTTTAGTTTCCTGTAATCTGTCTGAACAGGAGATTCACTGCCCCTTAAAACAAAAACGCCACTGTTCATTTAATTAGTATTTAGGCCCTTGAAGGGTTAGTAAGGGGCATGGAGGAGTTACATACATTCCTGCATACATGTCTGGTTATGCTGAAGGAGCATTTTTGTGTGTTGATTGGTGATGTTTTGTAGTCTGTATCACGTTATTAGTATTACATATTTTCTTTATTCCAAGATGCCATCAATTGCAAAACAGAACATTTCTGATGATGGAGATACACACTTTCAGTGTCTCCTTTGTGCGTGTGCCCCGTAACTAGTGTTATGTACGTGAAGGTTACCTTTCACTTTATACACACAATATGATTTTTCAACACCATTTTTTTTATGCTGTGTAAAGTAAAATGTACCCCAATTTTAAAAAATAAAGAAGTATCTTGGAATTGAAGGAAACATAGTACACGTGCATGGTAGTTGGAAATTGTTTCATTATTTGTGACAAGTACTGTAATTATTTTTCCATCTTCACCTGTATTACTGTTAATTTGTGATCCAATAATTTCTTTTACATTGTCCACTGCATTCCAATCATTTTCCTGTCTGTGTTATTTCATGCAGCTCATTAAATAAATGCATACAACACACTGCAATTTAATAGCAAATACTGCAAATTAAAAAAAAATACTGGTGCATTTCCTACAGTTCCCTCCCATTCATAAGTAACTTAAAATGCAAGTAATAGTGAACTTACAACCTCCACTTCTGAATCAGATCCTCCGGCTTCATCCACCATGGCAGCTGGAATTTTATTCAATGTTGTTGTTTTGGAAGTTTCAGAATTGGATATGGAAACACATTCCTCCACTGTGAGAATGGTTACTTCTTCCTCCTCCGATTGTTTTGATGTAACATCAATCCCAAGGCATTCAGATTCAGTCTCAAGCTGAACATCATTTCTAGGGTCAACAACTTCAACACTAACTGTTTCGTTTCTTAGGTTGTCATTGCCACTCTTCCTCCTGAACGTCCGTAATGTAGGTCTGCCACTTGTTTCTTGCTGAATCTCTGTCCTTAATGCGCTGTTAGTGCTCTGTTGATCTGGAACAGCCTTTTCAGGTGGTTCACTTACTGTTGCACTAAGTGTAACATGGTTTGTACTACGTGGCTCACAAACATGCAAATGCAAGGTTTCTGCAGTATGGCCAGTAGATGAGATTCCTGTTGCCTGAGCAGAAGAACCAGGAACACAACCGGGATTCCCAGATGCTTGAACTATACCAACAGGAGTGTTCCTTGACAGTTCAGGTTGAGCAGTCACTATGCTTGACAACTGTCTCTGTTGGCTTCTGCAAAGACTGGATTGCTGATTAACATCGAACAAGGGTTGTGAATTTGGGAGAGAAGCAGGGGTCTCAGTAATGTTTGAATTACTTTCAAGTTGAGGGTCTTCAAGACGGGTACCCTCAGATATGGTATTTACTTTTAAGAAGCCACTGTTACCATTAACATTTCGATTTTCTGCAGATGAAACATTTGCTGCTCCAGACAAATGTTTCTGAGTCATATTATTCACATTTTGCTGCCCAATCTCAGAAATGGGATTTTCCGTAGACGGATAACTTGATGCTCCAGACAAATGCTGAGCTACATTATTTACATTTTGGTGGCCAACCTCACAACCAGGTAACTTCTGAGTTGGTTTCTTTGAATGCTGCTGAACACCTTCGAATCTTGCCTGAAACGTTACTGAAGATGGAATATTGGCCGGAGCTGGTGGTCTGCTCCAGCTGTTTCCCTTATCAAAGAGCCTGTTACATGTAATAACTGGAAGACATCCAGTCTGGTTGTTTTCCCTGTCATGGAGATTATCTGCTGTTCTATTTGGAAGAGGCCTACTTTGACTGTTTCTCCTATCAAACTGGCCATTTGCAAGAGATACATTTTGTCTGTTTTCCCCTTCACAGGAACTGTTATTTGCTGTACTGTTTGGAACAGGTCCACTTAGGCTGTCTATCCCATCAAACAAACTGTTATATCCTCCACTACCTGCAGACAAATACTGATTCTTTCCCCTTTCAGAGAGACTGTTACTTGCTGGTTCACAGTGTGTTTTTCTCTTGTCATAAACATTACTTGCTGGTTCACTCCACGTGTTTCTATGGTCAGACAGTGTGTTATCTGTTGCTCTATTCACAAGAAATCTACTCTGATTGATCTCCTTATCAAAAAGCTGATTTCTTAATATATTGTTTCCAGGAGATCCATTCTGGTTGCTGACCCTATCAAAAAAATTATTTGCTGGAGCATTCTGGGTGATTCCCCCATTGCAGTAATTGTTACTTGCTACATCATTAGCATTTCCTCTTCCATGTGATCCTCGTCTGTGACTTATAATAGACTGTGTTGTTCCACATAACTGCATTTGTAATTCAGAAGCTACTGGAGGTGCCTGGTGTTGCTGAGGGATCCCAGAAGATGCTCCATTGTAGGATCCTGTGTTTCCTTGAGCGGCAGATACATGGTGTTCTTGAACACTCACTTGCTTCTGAGCATGTGGTGACACTCGTGTGTAGCTTGATGATAGTGGTATATAAGGTGGTGGTGGCGCTATATAACGTGGTGGTGGTTGTTGTGTTCCACAAAATCTATTTCCTATTGGATGCATATAACCATGAACTTCTCCCATAGGACCAGCAGCAGATGCACACAATTCACGTAATGAAACATTAGTTGTGCCTCCAGTTACTCTATTTGAAGGGGCATTACTCAACTGATGGGAAAACATACCATGATTTATGACCTGATTTGGTACATAGGGGCGACTGGATGAATTTGCAGCTGAACTTCGGGCAGCAACATTATTCATATAATGTGAAGATACACCCTGTTGCAAGGTATTGGGAGGATTACCAACTGATTCAGAAAATGTATGCTGTTTAATGGCTTCATTCCAAGGGTAAGGCTGATTGGAAGAATTTCGTGTATTAATCACAGGTTGAGGGAATGTATCCCTTTGTATGGCTTCATTTCGAGAGTGTGGTTGATTGACAGGGTTTTGAGCTGATTTATTCAAAGCTGAATTTTTATTCAAAGTGCGTAAGTACATGTGCTGATAGGTATGTTGATTTGATGGATTTTTGAAAGCAGCTCTACTCGAATCGTATGCCAATTTTCTTTGTTGTATAGTTTGATTCTGATTGTTGGATGTGTAATGAGATGGTGCAACCTGCAGATTTGGTGCATGTGAGTTACTCAAAGAATTTGGTAGTGAATAGCCTGAGCCAGACACAGGCACAGAGCCTGTAAATCCTGAAACTGCACTTCTGTTCCCATGAGAAACAGGAACATTTGGAACTGCATATGGTGTAGTATGTTGCACGTTATATGAATGTGCCAGTATTGTAGGGACTTTTCTCTTTTTAGGTGGCATATTTAAAACTTGGCTTTGTGCAAGTGGAATAGCTCTATCAGTTTCATGAACAGGTTGTGGTATATAAGAAATAGAATTTGAGTATGTAAATTGTCTACCTGGTGGGTTCTGAGTTTGCGCAAGATTATAATTAGGCAATTGTTGTTGGGGGATGTTTACGGTCTGAGCATGTCTTGGATTCAAATGTGATCCTGTTTCCCTCATACATACATCATATGTAGCATCAGTTGCTGGACCTCCGGTGTGGGTCACCACCTCATTTCTACTAGATGTAAACAGTACTGGTGCAATAGATGGAACATTCTGCATAGATTCAGAAGTTTGCTGTTTTGAATTGATATTTGCTTCACTGCTCGATGGAATTTGTCCTCGTGCTTGCAACAGAGGTAAGACCTGATTATTTGTATTTGAGGCAACATTACTTTGAATTGGAACGCCTACTGGCTGCTGCTGAAAACTGTGTTGCAAAATCTGCTGTATTAATGAAACTGACGAAACTGTGACCTGACTTGACATACTACCCAAATTTTCCACGCTCATCTGACTATTCCTGAGTACCCAAAAGCAATAGTTCTGACACATTTCTAACTGTCTTGAAGTATAAGTCCAATGAGGATTCAACTCACTTAGACGTTTAATCAGAATACCTTTACTTTCATCTGAGAAACTTCTTTCAACATACTTATACAAGTCAAGGAATGTTTTGGCTTTAACAATTTGGTGATGGGTTGTATGCTCTGCCTTTGCCAAAGCTGTTTCTGTATCCTTCAAGGTACCTGTCAGGCAACATATTGCTCTGAGACGGTGAAGAATACGATTCATATCTTGCAATAATACATATGTGATTTGTGTCAATTCACACAATTTTGTATCCATTTCTTTAAAAAATGACTTCTTATGGTGAATAATTCCCAAACTCTCTGGATCTCGAACCCTAATCCGCGGTAAAGTAAGAGAAACAGGAACATCACTCTCTTGTGGGGGCTTATCATCTGTACTTTTGCTGTTTGCTTGGAATGACTCAGGCTGCAGCTGATCAGACCTGACTGTAGGTCTAGAGCTATGCATAGCAGAAGTGGTTTCCTTGCTGTTTGGAATATTTGTCTGTAAAGGAGAACAAACCTGAGTTTGGTTAAGGTCTACAGTTGACTGTGGGAATTTGGTGCTTGCTTTACTGCAGCCTACCCTCATTCCAGAGTTGGATTCTGACAGACACTTCTCTTTCCCAGCTATTTCAACTTCAGTTTGTTTCACTGCTGATGTCAACATCCTGAAAATCTGTGGCTGAGAGGAAGAATCTGGAACACTTCTTTTGCAAAGTAATGCCAGATCCTGTAATGGCTCACTTGTAGATGAACTTGCAACTGTATGGTGTTGGTTATCTGTTTCATTTCGTTCACAACATGATATATGTGGCACAGATGAAACATTCTTATCCACTGACCTTTCAACTGTATCGTGTTTGTTATTTGGTTCATTTTGTCCACAACCTGATGTATGTGGCACAGGAGAAACATGCTTATCCACTGACCTTTCAACTGTATCGTGTTGGTTATTTGGTCCATTTTGTCCACAACCTGATGTATCTGGCACAGGAGAAACATGCTTATCCACAGATCCGGTTACCTTCGAGCATGATATATCTGGAATCTCTAGTGTAGACACATTTACATTTGTTTCAGGGGATGAAACCTTCTTCTCAGCTACTCTTTCTGCAGTGTCTGATGGCATGCTGATATCTTCTGAACACTTATCAGCATGTACAACCCCCTCTGTGCTCACAGAATGTCCATCTGATGCATCATTAACATCCTTTAATATATTACAATTTACCGAAAGCAGTTTCACTGTAGTGCCAGAGTGGTCCCTTTGAGGACTTGGAAACAAAGTATCTATATTTTTTGCATTTATTATCAAGTGAAATTCCCCATTTTCTCCTTCCTTAATGCATCCTGTAAGATGTATATCATTTGTATTGGCTACATCACTTGATTTCTGGTGTCCAAATCCATTTTGCTTTTGTGTATTATCCTGTGTGATTGTACCAGTTCCATCTTTCATGGGGCATGTTATGAGCAACTCACTTTCAAAACATGCTTCAGGTCCAGTGTCTTTCTGATGATCACTCTTACCCAAAGTATCCACATGTAAGGTTGTTGTTCTGGAGGTTACTGCATACATATCATTTTTGTGAGTTGTCATATCTGACCGGACTTGATTATTCTGCTGTAATGTATTTGCACCAGCTCTGTTCGTCATGGAGTCACATACACCCTCTTGTTGATGGTTATTCTGTTGTGCAGAATGATTCAATTGTGGCAATTTTTGGGAGCCAACTTTCTGCACTTCACTTCTGGGGCACAAGGAACTAGGCTCACGATCACCAAACCCTTTAGCTTTCTGCTGGTCACGGTGTTCTGGTTCTACTTCTCCTTTATTCAAACTGTTGCTTTCTGATTCACTTTTACAAGAAAGTAACATCAGCTGACATGTCGACCCATTATCCTTTTGTCCTCTATCCTGTTCTAAAGAACTCGCAAATTTAACATTTTCTCCTGAATGATTAGATACTCTTGCTGAATTTGAGCAGGAATTACTTTCCTGTAAAACTTTCATACAAACTCCATCAGGGCTATCAGACTTACTTCCTGGAAGTTCATCAGGATCCTCTCCAAACAGTTCCAACATTATTTCTCTCTTCTTCCTATATTTATCATCTTTAAAATCTAATTTGGAAGTATAAAATGGATTTATATTTGTAATTCTCTCCAAAGTATTTCTTCTGTTCTGTTTCTCTGAAAATAATTTACCATTTTTATCCCTTTTACAATCATTTAACGATACAAATGAATGATATTGCTTGTCCCTTCTACATGCTTTTACACTGCTCGTAGCCAACAACTCATTTCCTCGTTGTTTCATTTCTAATGCAGTAGTGTTATGCACTCTCTCTCTAGATACTCCAAATGCAGTATCTTGTCCAGGTTTCAATCTCTGTGGACTTCCCTTCAAAGTTTCCACCTTATTCTTTCCCATATTTACTATTCCACTTCCTCTAGGTTTTGTTTCAATGGCTCGCTCTACTGATATGGCCTGAAAAGAAGCCTGATGACCTGTTTTAAAACACCTTGAACTTTTCTTCAATTTTCTCTCATTCTTTCCAGTCTTCACCTTCTCACCTCCTCCAGGTTTCGGTTTTGTTCTTTTCTCTGTGGATAAACTTTGAACAACGCTCTGTTCTATTTCCAAATGCTGTGGACTTCCCTTCAATATTTTCTCTTCCTTCCTTCTATCACTGAACATCTCACTTCTAGGTTTATTTTTTGTCGCTTTCTCCATGGACATACTTAGGGCAGAAGTCTGTTGCCCTCGTTTCAAATTCTGTGGACCTTCCAACACCTTCTCTACTTTCTTTCCAGTCTTTACCATCTCACTTCCTCTAGGTTTCTTTTTTGTAACTTTCTCCAGAGATAAACTTTGAGTAGCAGCCTGTTCTTCAGTCCTCAGACACAGTAGAGTTTCCTTAAATATTCTCTCTTCATTCCTTGCAGTCATTACCATCTCATTTCCTGTAGGTTTAATTTTGGTGACTCTCTCTCTGGATGAATTTTGAACAATGGTCTTTTCTTCAGTGTACAAACACTGTGGAATTTTCTTCAATGCATTCCCTTTATTCTTGCAACAATTTACCACGTCACGTCCTCCAGGTTTCATTTTTATTGTTTTCTTCTGGGACAGATCTTCAACAGCGGCCTGTTCTTTAGTTTTAAAACACTGTGGACTTCCCTTCAATATTTTCAGTTCATTCTTTCCAGTCTTCACTGACTCACTTCCTCCAGTCATTATTTTTGTGGTTTCTTGTATGCTATCAGCAGCAGCGTGCCAACTTGTTTTCACACAGTGGGAACTTCCCAATATATTCTCTTCATCTTTTCCTGCCTTCACAATCTCAGCTCCTGCAGGGTTCACTTTTGTGCCTCTCTCTGCGGATACACCTTCACCAGCATTTGAACAGTGAAGAGTTTCTTTTTCCAGTACTTTCTCTTCATTCTTCCTATTCTTCACCACTTTTTCTCCAGGTTTCATTTTTGTGACTTTCTCTATGCGTATGCCTTGAGTAGCAGCCTTTGCAACTTCTGGACAATGTGAACTTCTCTTTCCCTGTTTTGTCACTTTCTTCCCTCCAGCTTTGATTGTCTCATTTCCTCCAGGTACCATCCTCGTGCCACTGTCTGCTGAAACTCCATAAGTATCAGCCTCTTCTCCTGTTTTTGGAAGCTTTGGAATATCAATTTCCAACATTTTCTCATCGCCCTTTCTACTCTTCATATCATTTCCCATGGGTCTCATTTCTGCCCCCTTTACTACAGATTCTCCTCCTCCATAACTGAACCGCCTCTTCTTACGTATTTTAGAAAGCAACTCACAAGGTTCGCTGCTTCTTCTTTTAACATTCATTGAACACTTACTTGCATGCTGACTGCCTGACATCTTAGCTAACTTTTCTTTGCTTTTTGATAATGAGGTACGCATTTTTACCACTTCATCATATTTTTCAAGGTTCTTCCTTACTACTGGAAATTTATTTTCACAAACCAACTTCTGCTGATTGTTAACTGTACATTCTATCTTTCGCAAATTTTCAGCTGAATCCTTTGTATTATGGTTATTTTCATCTTCACTTTTACCATAATTCTTACCAAAATATTCATCAATGGTAGTATAATATTGCAAAGCTGTTCTTCTAACACCAGGGTATTTTGTCACACTTCTCATATGTTTATTTCTTTCAGCAGACAAACTACTGTTGGGGTGGTCCATTCCACACTTCTCTTTGGAAACTAAATGCTTTGAAGATTTTACTTCTCTTTCCAAGGATTTAGCAACAGAAGCATTTTCAATTAGAGTGCCGCATCGCTTATTATTTCTATGAAAACTACCATCAGCTGTTTTATACTTCACATTGTCACCAAGAGATGCTTCCCTGATTTCTGACACCATAAACTGCAACTTACTACCCTGATGGGATGCATCTTCAACAGTTATCCTGGACTCTAAATTCTGCTGATTCTGTTGTATTTTCAAATGAGAACTTTCACGACCTTTGTGCTCCGAAGGAACATGCACTGAAACTCTCCTCTGGATATCTGAAAAGGCATAATAATTTACATGAACTAATAAGCACTAATAAACCATCAGATAAAAACCAACATTGCACATACATAACAAAACCGTAAAGGCTGTCTATGGCCAACGTGATTCCCTTTCTGTGAGAGTGTACATACATTCACTTAGCCCTCCAGCACTTCAGAAAACACAAATATGTCCATAAGTGATGTGATCAGTAGCTTCTGGTGGAATGGCCACAATATGGCACCACCACAGGTGTGGGTTTTGGGTGGAGACAAAGTAGAATAGTAGTCCTTTGCCTTCCATTTCAAACTTGCAGCTTGCAACACTCACGCGTAACATGGTGGGAAGTGTTGTAAGATGGGCCCTCTGCAACTTATGCTTGACCAGATAATGACAGATTTCACAAGTGCTTCCTGTTCTGCTTCAAACTAGGAAAACCTGTGACAGACACTTGTTGGTTTTCCAAGTTCAAAATGGGGAAACACAAATGAACAAGGCTCAGCATTCAAGGCATCCACAGACGAACAAAATGGATGCAAATAGCACAAATCAAAGAATTTGTCCATGAAAACATGTGTTACTGCCTGCAGCTTGGTTAATAAGGTGGGAATCAACTACAACACATCATAGTGTGCTGACAAAAAATTTGAATGTAACACACTGCCACAAAATATATGCTTTGTCTATGGACTGTCCCTGTGTGGAGGCAGGTTAGAATATCTCCACCACAGCCCTGCAAGGCATAGAAGGCATGAGGGTATGACTGAGCTACCCTGTCAGTGGATGTGATCTAGCACAATCTTCTAAGGGCTCAAAAAGTGCTCTTTTGCTAATGATGAAGTCTGCTGACTGACGAGTAAAGTCAACTGTGTCAATATGTGTGAGAACTTCCAGCAGAACTTCAGACAAAATCACCAACCCTTTCAAAGGTTATCACAGGAGAATTCATGCTGGTGCGTGTTTTTTTGTGGTTATGTATGCTTTTCTTTTCTGTTTGCAAGTGCCTGTTTGTGTGTGAATGTGTTTGTTTGTTTGTGTGTGTGCGTGCGTACGTGCGCGTGTTAGCTGCCCTGCAGCCAAAACATCTTCTGTAATCAGCGTTACTGTTTCCTTCATCTCTGAAATCTTGGTATATTCATACCATTGCCATAATGAACATTATAATACTGTGCTACCAGTAACTTCCTTTAGTCAATGATAGTATATCGCAATACATAAGCAACTTCATTATTTCAATACCTGAGTGAAATAAGCACCCTGAAGCAGTACTACATATCAACGTTGGATGTCCCATTACAAATACATTTTGCTTGAACAAAGAAATGATCAGTCAAGAAGTTCTTCCAACAGAATAATAAATTAAAATTTAATTTCAATCCAACACTGCAACTCCTCTACCAACATACTGTAAGAACAAATATACGTAACTGCATCCAATCTTATAAAATCACTTAAGTACTTACCTGTTAATACTTATCAGTGTTTTGGTTTCAACATTTTCATACGTGACACCAGAAATTTAAAAAAGTAAATGCAACCAGCTCCATTTACACACCTCAACAAATATAATTATTATTTCATATATTTTCACTGAAACGTCTCTGCTTGAAATGTTGGTTATTATTAATGTGTGCCTCGAAAAACTCACCCAAAATCTGAGTTTCATCTGTGTGCTCAGATTCCCCCAAAGACTGCCCTGGAGTTTTTCCAACTTCAGTCACTTTGGTCTTGCAGTCAACAACTCCACTTCCTCTGCAAGTATGGTTTTGTACTGATGCAGTTTCCTTATGATAATGAGGGTTATTACATGAAACTGACGGGTACTTAGCTTTTTCACACGCATTAACACTATCATCATTAAAATCTGTTGACACTGTTTGGGACTTTCTAATCTCATGTTCACTCTTCTCTGCTTTTTTGCTTAGTTTTCGTGATGCACTGTCTTTGGTCCCTTCATCAATGTCAGTATAGTTTCCATCCTGACTAGTCTGAATACTGTTGCCAAGGAAGTCACCATGAGACTCATTTGAGGCATCACTGGTTTCTTTGGTTTCTTGTTGTACTGAGGACACTTCTTCATTAGTGATTGATGGTGTTGAATTAGAGTGATGTTCTGCTTCTGATGTTACACAATGAGGTTCCTCTTTCTCTAATGTGTTCTGTTCAGAATTCACTTCTGTTGTGACCCTATTCACAACAGCGATTACTTCTCTCTGAGAAGAATGATCTTCATCCTCCTCTGTGCTAGAACTATTCCTGTTTATTACTACACTTCCCCCCTCTATGGATATCGACTGTGCTTTGTATGCAGTCACTCCTTCCTCTAGTACTTCCCCATTTCCATTGTCACAAACTTTCCCATTCTCCTCAATCAATGCCCTAGATTCTTTCCCTTTAGTATCACAATCTTTACCAGATTCATATGGTACCACTGTTTCTGTCTGATCGTTGACTGTGGAACTATGTGTCTGTTCGTCTACATCTGAAGTCTCACTAGTGCGGACCACATCTGTCACATCAGTTTTAATGCCTGAACAAGCAACAGAATCATGGACTTTTGAACTAGACAGTCTTTCCTTCTCCACTTCACTTCCCACTTTTTCACTGTCCTTCGAATCTTCAGAAATAATATTATTAATTGGTTCAGACACAGATGATTTAATATTCTGCTTTTCAACTTTCTGCATCTTTCTATCACACACATTCCATCTCCTTCCGTCACTGTCATGGTCTGGGTATATTTTTCTTTTCCTTCGATAAAAGTCTTTCCTCATGTGTCTATCCACGTTATTCTCCCTGCATCTGTAACGATAGCTGTAGGCATCACAGGTACCATATCGAGAAGGCTGGTGATAATGGTTCTCTCTTTCAGAATATCTCCTGGAGTCTGCATACTGAAACGACCTGCTTTGCCAGTGCACATCTGCATTCCTGAAACAAAAGTAAAAGAAGAAAACTAGCAAATCTAGAAAAAAGTGAAGTTCAAACTCTAGAAGCATAAAACAAATAATGCAAAAAATATATAAGGGCACAGTGAAACAAGCCAGAGACCTTACATATCCACGTAATAAATCATAGGAAGATATGAAAAATAACTTCTCTGCCAATTACAGTTAATATGTTACAGCAGTCATCTTGAATATATTGTCACATGTGTAACTGACTTTCAATGGGGTTTTGGATTGGATACTGGATTTACTGACCACTTACAGATCACAACTACAAGTAACAATAAGTTTCAGAGGATTACACACTTCAAATATCACTGTATCTACAGCACACATAAGTCTTCTCTGACTTCACTAGACGTTTCCTGGTAACAGGTTCTAACAGTTGAGATTCTTCAGCTTCTGTGCTAACTGCACCGATTAATTCTTCTCGTCAGATTCCCTTACAAATCTCTCAGTGCTTCAACTGACTTAAATCCCAGGCTGACAGCCATTTAACAGCAAACTCCTATTCTTCTCTTCACAGCCTAACTTCAACTGAGCACTGAATTCTCCACTGTTATTTTCATGATGTATTTTAAGTGGGATAATTTGGAATTGGGCACCAGTGGATCCACATCCACAAAGGATAAATGGAAAGCAGATGCCTGGATGCTTGTTGGTGGTCAGCTCGCTCGGGTTATGAGATCCCAGGTTCCAGGGTCTGACAGGACTTTGTATGAAAATGAGGTAAGAACAGTAACCGGTGAAGGAGATGTTACTGTTCATGCACATGGAATATATGTGAGCTGGCGAGGAGTGGTATGATCTTGAGGTTAATTCAGAATGTTTCCCTCCTTCCTCTTTTGTTGTATGACACAAATGACTTTCCCGGTATCTAATGCATCTGATTAAAGAAGGTAACATATTAAATACCATACAGGAGTGTACACTAGTTAGCATTATGTGAACTTCATAATGCACAACATTATATGTAGTAAACAGAAGAATCAAATCATAGGCTGTCAGTTAAGTGTGCGTGGGCTATGATCTATGAATAATAAATTGGAGGCAGTTTAGCGGGCTGTGTAGGACCATGGGTTATGAGGTGCTCAAGTAATATCTACTGAATAAGTGTACTGAAAATATGATTTGTATGAACTTTAATGAGTGGTTCAAATCACACTCTCATATACATTGCTTTGGTCTTCCAGAACACACTGACTACTATGCTTATAACGATGGCTGGCTGACTGACCACAAGCCAAGAAAACTCTCATCCAACAAGAAGCTAGCATTGTTTTAACATCTCCTGTAAAACCCACCGCCATTACCCCTGGCAAACTGTGACAGGGTGAGGAGTTCTCAGCCAGCACATTGGAGCATGTCTTCATAGAACAGTGTGTTTTGTACTTGGGTGGTCATTTCTGTGCTAATGTGCAACCCCCTGCTTCACTCATGTCCGCCCACACCTGCACTCTGAAAGCCAACAGGCTGCGGCCAGGCTCCATGCTAAATATTCAATGTAACAGTGGTATATGTGATTCATACTTGGGCTCTTATGACATCCACATGAATCATACTTACCCTTCTCGAGGAAGAGGTTCTGGGTATCCTTGGGAGAAGACGAATGAATCACAAGAGTTGTGAGACTTGCGGTAACAGTCATTACGGAATGAAGGCTTCTCAGAATGTGGCCAACTCCCTTCTGCTGAATGAAACCATTCCGTGTGACCTCTGTATCCTCCTTCATAGTTATCATGCCTGTAACATGCAACTGTTGGTAATTTTGTGTGTTCAGGAGGGAGGGGTTCAATGCATGCACGTGCATCTACTACTAGTCTCCACAGTTACTACTATATTACCAGCGCCATGAAGAATGTGTATATTCACGCTCATACAAATCCGAAGTACCTAATTAAATTTACAAGTGCCTGCATAACAATGAACCATTCCCGAGTTGACACCATGGACGACAGATGTGATGCGATCCTGACAGCACTGTGTGTTCTTTTAAGTAAGTGGCTCTCTAACTGAAAATGGTTGGCTGCACTATAGCTCAAGCGGTTAGTCGCTGGCTTCCCACAGCGGCGACCCGGGTCAGGTCAAGTTGGATTTGTGGTGGACAAAGTGGCGCTAGGGCAGGTTTTCTCAGAGTGCTTCGGTTTCCCCTGTCAATCTTCATTCCACCAATTGCTGCACAATCACCCTCACCTATCATCTGGGACTGGTACAATAGGCCAGAAGTGGCCGCAGTACAAGGGACTTAGTCCCACGCCAGTAGCAATAAGAAAAACTGAAAATGGTCAGTGCAGGGTGCTAATAACCACTAAGAGAAAGAGTTTCAATATTACGATTAACAGAGACCTAGATAGTGAAAGCTACATGACAGGGTGGCGTAAAAAGCGCTGAAACTGCAAATATTGTCAAGTGAGGGTACTCCAAGAACCACAGCCTTGTTATTTGAAACCCGATTCTCAGTCCACTAGTACTTACTTACTCATGGAGCTAAGCCCTTCTGGAGGAGCCGCCAATTCTGCAGTTACTCAAGAACTTCCCAGCATTTTATGGAACCTTAAGGTTCATTACCATGTTCACAAGAGCCCTCCACTGGTCCCTATCCTAAGTCAGATCAATCCAATCGATACCATACCATTCCATCTCTCTAAGATCCATTTTAATATTGTCCACCCACCTACGCCTTGGTCTTCCCAGTGGTCTCTTTCCTTCTGGCTTCCCCACCAATATCCTATACACGTTCATCTTCCCCATCCGTGCTACATGCTCTGCCCATATCATCATCATAATCATCATCATCATCATCATCATCATAAGGAGGAGGAGGAGGAGACCACATCACATAACACTGTGTAATATTTGGTGAAAGGTGTTTTCCAAAGGCTGGAAGTAAGTCACAAACCAGGCATAGGCTAATATTCCGCTGACAGCTGTCACAGGTGTGAACACTGACTTGTGACCATAAGTGGGTGCATTACATCACTACAAAACCACTGTAGTCCAACACAGAAAGATGTCACAAAGGATCCCCCCCACCAAAACATTTGAGACACATACCAGGTGGAAAATCCACAGCAAGTATTTTGAATACACAAGCGGCGGTTCATGTTGAGTATCTGCCATGTAGTGAAAGAACTGGTGTGTAGTGTAACAGCAATTTGCTTGGTCAGTCACAAGAAAAGACCTGGGAAACTGTCGAAGATCTATGTATGGCATATTTGACAACAATGGCACTAATAACCTTGGGCTGGGGAATCATGCACCAACGTCCTTCAGTCCAGACTTAACCACCAGAGACTTTGACAACAGATGACGAACCCAAATTCAGTGTCCTGAACTGGCCACTCAGTCAAGCTACAGCCTTCTAGTTTGCCAGCACTGGTGCCTTTCCACAATAGGAATAATATACTGAAAAGGACTGACTAGTGATTTCAGAATGTACATGTATAATATTTTTAGTAAGATAAAGTCTTCGTCAACCCTGAGCTTTCTTCATACTCAAGTAAACTTTTCCCTGGTGCATGATGCCATACTGTTTCTACAGAGTGAAGTCCATTATGACTATTCAGCAAAACCAGAGATTATCTCTATTTTAGAATATTCATGCCTAGGTAACCAGATGCCTGATCATTTGTATCGTATCACTACACAATTATAAAATACTATAGTCTATAAATTGACATAATATGCCTGAATATGGCAAATTTCGTTCAAATTCTTAGTTCTTGACTTGTGATATATGAAGCAGTGTTTCAGAATAACATATTGTGCAACTTCAAACTGTTCTTTTGATAGAGAAAACTGATCTCCTAGCTGCAATTATACTAGAACTACGAGATAGCTTCTATTTCTATTCAGTTCCCTTCTCCCTTGCTGTTAAAACTATCAATAAAGTTCTTTGTTTATCACAACACCTATCTTGTCAGGTTTCTGTACAGCAATTAGCTACTGTACATTATCAAGAGAAAATTTACCATCTCCCAAACTTGGCACAGCACAATTAATTTGCTACACTCCAACTGGCTAGTTGGAAGCCTCAGCAGCCCAGCCCATAGCCAGTCACTATACCAGCTGTGTTATCATAGCTCCAAAAATGTACCTAGCAAAATAAATATCAAGTGAAAAATATACCGTTGGGTGTACATCCTTATTTCTTCCAATGTGAACTTCTGCAGGTAAACTTTGGTGTCTTGTGATAACTGCTCCAATGCACTCTTCACAGACTCTTCACTTACGCCCATCTGTTCAAGTTGGTTCTGCACCTGACAGCAAAACATCCACCCCAATAATGTCATTTTAAATTGAGAATAATTCTTACAAAACACAAATTTTGGTGCCAACTGCTATGTGTGATTTATGAAATTGAAAATATCACATATTTATTCGCTGATTATGTACATTTAAAATTAACATCACACTTGTACAACTGCCATTATACAAAATTTAATATTCAAAGGATTCTAGGTTCAGTCCTGACTGCTGGCACTAATATCCAAAATAAAACAGTAATAATTATCTTTTGGTATAATAATGACCAACGAACATACCGCAACTTCCAAAGTAGCATGCACATTAAATGTATCACACAAACAACAGATAATTCCACAAAAAAAAAAAAGGATGTAATGATTTGGTCACTGTCACAAACCCTCCATCATGGGATATCTAGAGCAGTGCTTCTCAACCGCCAGGCCACGGCCCAGTAGTGGACCCTGGCATCAATTACACGAGGCCGCGAGAGGCTCTTCTGGAATTTGTCATTTTCATTTTCTAGGCATTTTTCATGAATAAATATTTTATAGTGGAAATATTCTGAGAATAATAATATTTGTGTCGAGATGCTCAGACACAGAACACCTAAATCTGTGTAGCAAATGTCAGCGACCAGGCCGCATATTTTTAAACATGGAAGTATTCATGAATGATCGGGAATTTTCAGACATCCAAATCTTTCACCCCTGCTCAGATAGCATGGTGTTTCTAATCTGTCACCTATAGCCTTCCAAGCCCGTTCTCCCGTGTATGCTTTGAAGATAGCACATATGCGAGCTATCTTTCTGCGCTCTGTCAAGGTTTCCCAGTTTGATTCGTTCCTGTGGTGTGCAAATTTAGCCCCTTTCTTTTACACCCGGTCTAACGCATTTATCAATGCCAATATTTTAGACCAATCATGATCTCAAGCCATTATATTTCTTTGCAGTTGTCCCCGAACAGATCCATGTATCCTGAAGACGTCTGCGTCCTTAAGATAATAAAGACCCTACATCCCATAATTGTCTTTTTGTTTCGCGTCTTCTGCATAAAGCCCTCAACCATTGCATTATATTTCCTGGATCCAAAGTTAATAAGAATGAAAGTACAATGTGGAATATCATATAAATATGTAGAGCGGCTATAAAATAACCGGACTGACTTTTTGCAAACTCCCTGCAGCCTTGACAACAGCGAGCACGGTGGCATATTAGCCTGTCCTCTCCTCTCTATCAACCCAACGACTTCAAAGACCATATAGCCAACAGTGTGGTAGCAGCCTTTATTTGAAGTGGACCGTGTATCTTAGCTCTTAAGTGTTAAAGTAGAGCAACGTGTCAATGTGAAATTCCTCACAAAACTTGGAAATCCGCCACAAAAACAAACAGTTTGTTGATGGAAGTTTATGGTGACGAATGTCAATCTCATACTCAAGTTTTCAAGTGGTTCAAAAGATCCGCGTTCGAGCCCGTTGCTGAATTAGCTAACATTAATAAAGAAAGTGTTCGACAGATTTTGCACGAACATTTTAACATGAAAAAAGTGTGCTCCAAGATGGTGCCGAGAATCCTCACTCCTGAGCAAAAAGGAAACTCGAATCAACATTTGTGTTGACATCCTTCAAAACACTGGAAATGATCCAAACAATATAGGAAATGTGATAACTTGTGATATGACACGGAAACTAAGCGCCAATCCATCCATTAAAAGGGTCCCAGGTCACCAAGGAAAAAAAAAAAAAGCATGGAAGAGCAAGTCAAATTTCAAAGCAATGATGACGATTTTTTTCCGATATCCAAGGGGCTGTTCACATTGATAGGTGCCTGAAGGTGAGAACGTTAGCCAGGTCTACTATATGGAGGTTTTGATAATCCTTCGTGAACAGGTGAGAACTGTGGAAGAGCTCATGCATTCCTCACCACGACAACGCTCCGGCACACAACGCACTGTGTCAAGACGTTTCTGGAGAAAAACAAGATCCCCTTGTTGGAACGTCCACCCTACTCACCTGATGTAGCCCCATGTGACTTCTTTATTTCCAACGATCAAGTCTGCATTAAAAGGAAACCGTTTTCGAGTCTGTAGATGCAGGGAAGACAAAGGTGATGGAGGTAATTAAGAATCTATCAGAAAAAGGACCTGCAGCATTGCTTCCAACAGTGGAAAAATCGCATGGAACTGTGTATGGGTTAGGAAGGAGACCACTTTGAATGTGATAACATTTCCATTGTGTTGGGAATCGTGGATTCAGCGCGACGCGATAACGCACGCGTTGCGGGTAAAGCCTTCCCCGTGGTGACATAACAGCATAGGAGCCTCCGGCGCCGCCGCTGCTGCTAGGGGCAACAGACCAGTAAACACTTCCTCGCCGTGACGAAACAGCACAGGAGTTGTGTTAGGCAACGAGACGGTAAACACTTCCCCGCTGCGACGTAACAGCGGACGCTGCTGCTAGGGCAACAGGCAACAGTATAAGAAGCCAGCGGTGCCAATAGAAGTGTGTGCGCTGAGAGAAGACAGTGGAAGCCGACAGAAGCCAGTGGTTAGCCAGCGCGGAGAGCAGAGCGGTTCTACAGTCTAGTGAGACTTGTTAATACGAAAGGAGCAACTGTGAAACGACGTGTTCAACATTTTGTGTTTTGGTTATATTGAACTGTAGTTACGGCGTTGAGTAATAAAGTGACGCCGCAGAAATAATCCTCGAGGTCTTGTTTCACGACACATTACATGATTAGTTGAATAACGGGTTTTAGAACATCAGTCTGGTTATTTTATAGCCGCTCCACGTACAAAAGCATGTGTACAGTACAACTGAAGTTCTCATACAATAAACCCCAAGAAAACAATGGTTACACATGTGGCTATTCAAAAACACATCCACATATATACATCAGTACTGTCAACTTACACTATCTGCACAGCCTTTAAATGGAGGAGTCACTTTTCAGACAATAAGCATTTTTCAACGTGCGTTTTAGTATCCTTTTAGTGTTATTTTAAATGTGCTTTTTACGAGTGTATGTTTATGAATCTTTTTAGCGCTTTTTAAATCATGCTTTTTCTTAAGACTTTTTCAGGTAAGATGGCAGATTACTAAAAATTTTGATCCCAGCATAATATGCTCTTTTCTGAGAGCACGGGGGGCTAGGCGTGGGACACTTCCTGTTTTTGTCAAAACTAAAACTTTCACCCATACTGAAAGTAGACTTCTTGCTGTTGCTATTGTTTCTTTCCGATTCCGGATCTGCTTCAAGGTCACCGCTTGTCAGCCCCATATGCACTCTGACCAGCAAATAAGAAAGTGCCCCCGCTTGAAGCGCTGGCTGTGACAATAAATGAAATAGGTCTTTCCACTGATAACCAGTCAGACGCTAAGGATTTATACAATACCAGATTGGAAAACATTCCAGAGGAATGTTTGTGTGTCTACTTTATCTTTCTCAATTTGAACTTCAAGCTATGGAGACGCATCTTATCATACCATTGTCAAACATATTCTTCCTCTTTGGTGATAATTTTCCTTCATGCTCACAATTTAATCTCCAACGTATACACATATATTATACAAATAAAAGTACTTCAAAAAACTGCCTGAAATGCAACCACATATTCTTTTTACATAAAAGGTTTCACAGTGATTGACTGCCAATGAAATATACCACAGAACTTCACAATGCTACTTAAATGGCCACCATATGCCACACAGAGGAACGCATGCTGACATTTAGTGGCTGGTTACAAGGCAACATATTAGAATTGCAGTCTAGCTTATCAAAATTTGTGATTTAAAGCATTTACAAAAAAGGATGTCTATTGCACTGCAAGAGTCCGTTAAAACGTTAAACCAAGTATAGATAAAAAGTTAGTACTAAAACTGTAAAAACCAAAGGGCATCTATACTTGCATGTAAAAAACCGAACACAAATATAACATCTTTAAATCTTGATGCGTCTGTTCTTCCCATGTTTGTACTTACTAAAATGACTTGCAGCAGTGCTTCCAAATCACTTGTAAGCTAATTTCCACAGTACTGCTACTTTGTATTGCTTTATTTAAAATATAAACTAATACCATCATATATGCAATATGTGTCATTATACATAATATCCAAAACAGTTAAATATAGAGTGCATATTTTTCAGAAATATAACATACGTTGTAAATACGGGAAAGCTACAGTACAAATATTTATCCTCTGTTTCCGGACTTACTGAAATCCTAATGCATAAACTCCTAATCTAGAGGACATTATTATCCACACATCCATCAAACCTAAACACTCAATTCATACCTAACATGTATTCAGGTTTGACCTATCTAAAATCTGTAAAAGACTTTTTAATTTCTTTGGATTACAGAAATGACCCAAAACTAACCTACCTGCATATCGGTAACTTCTGCGTATCAATCTGCTGTCGCCTAAGATGGCTCCCACATAAGAAATAAAGCAGACATGTGTTTTGACTGTAGAACAAGGAACTGTCTATTGTACTATAATGTATGTGGTTTTATGACGTTGAATCATGAGCATTTCAGCGCATACTGATTTACATGTGGCTCAAGACTTCGTGCGATCCAGCGTTCTGAAATATTTGATACGGGTTGAGTTTACATCGTACATAAAACAAGTTAAAACTTGCCCGACTCTCATTTGAAACTTCCCCGTGCCTGTTGACTACATAAGACTGGTCCCCCATCATACATTAACAAGCGGCGGTAGCTCGGTCGATATAGTTCGCTTGCGGACTAAAACCACGGAGTTCGTAGTTAAGGTCAATTCATTTTGAACAGGAAATATCAAGACACTCCAGTTCTTCGCCATGTCATTGACGTCAGTAGCCTGTCCCCTGTATCATGTCATTGACGTCAGTAGCCTGTCCCCAACCAACTAGTTCTTCTTGCCTACCGCACTTCCTAGTGCTATTGACCTCAAGTTCCTGGATTTACTGGCCGTCCCCCCCCCCACTTAGCACACAACATCATATGGTCTTTATCGCTCTCAACAATCTCG